CTATAGCTTATTTAGCTTATACGTAAATCCGGCCCTGTGGTCTGCAATTGTCGTTCATAAACATGCAGTCATTTGCAATTGTTGCAGGGCAAGGGACTACTATAGATCTCAGGATCTCAACTCTATATCGGCAACTGGTCAGAGCTCCATTTCGAATGATATGGAGATCAGTGCTCCCATCAATGGAGATGTCAGCAAAGACCATCACTCCCCCACCGCCAAAACTTACACTTTCGTGTTCGAACACACGATTGTTACTAGTGCTACGTAGCCTCAATACGCCTATTATCAGGATAAACAGAAAAACTGGACTCATCAGAGAAAAGAGTATTGTTATTGCACCTGTGGAGAGTGTTATTATCAATATTGTCAACCTTCTTCTATGAAAAGGTACCCCACCATAGAATCGAGTTAACATGTCTTATATACTAGTGAATTGGAATTGTATGCTTGTAGTGGTAGACACACTACAGTACTCCCCCACCAGAATTATATATCTGTGATAGAATTCGACGAAAGAATACCAGTAGTTGATTCATTGCAGTTTTGTGAGAAGCCGGGAGAGCTGTATTAAGATCACCGTACTTTTGCTGGTCATGAGAGCTGTATTAAGTTCACGGTCGTGGTTGCTCCTGTGTTGCCTTTAGCAGTCGAGTGAATACGGTGTATGTTGTGTGTGATCGAGACTGAATAGCAACAGCAGGAGGAGGTGGATAATGTCACAAGTAGCAAGTCAACTGTTCAATATGGATCATCCATCGAAGTAGGCATGTTCAAATCGAAGTGGACGCTGCTGTCAAGTTTGGCGTGTTTGTCGACCTTCTTCTATGAAAAGGTACCCCACCACAGAATCGAGTTAACATGTCTTATATACTAGTGAATTGGAATTGTGTTTTTGTAGTGGTAGACACACTACACCATTCATTTCTCCTCCAGTTCACATGCTCTGTTGCCCACTCCCTGCGGGCGCGACGGTGCTTTGCTGTTAACGTGACACACACCATTGGTCGTCGAGCATACAGACCTACAGCGTGAAAGCGGTTTCGGACAGTTTGTGTCGAAACTGTGGTGCTAGTAGCCGAGCCAAATTGTTGTTGACGAAGAGTGACATTCATATTTCGGTGTCTCTGAGCCGTTAGCGTTAAATGACGGTTTTCATTGGGCATTGTTGCACGCCCGCGTCCTTGCTCTGATCTTCGGTCTGCATTTCCAGCCTCTCAAAAACTGTTCATTCTTTGTGAAACTCCAGTGGCTCCTGCTACTTTGGCTTGTGTTTGGCTCCCTCTAACCGGCCGACAATTTTCTAAGCTTCTGATTTGGTTAAATGACGGCGTTGAGATATCGCACTATCGGAACAATGTGCTTTTTGAATGTCGATCATTCTTTTCCGCTTTGTCTTACATTAAGTTGAAAGCCAAATCAAATTCTGAGCCACTAACTCAAAATTTGCATATTGCGAAGTTTAAAAATTAGAAAAATTTGCATTTGTGACTCTCTCCTTCCATTTTGTGCAAAAAAAATTTACTTAAACCGTTATTTTATACAAGATTTACAACATCCTTTAGTTGTTTTGAACAGTGTATATAGGGCCGGGATAGCCTGGTCGGTAGGGCGCTGAGCCCATGTCCGAGAGTTCGTGGGTTCGAACCCCGCCGGCCGAAGACGCTCCTTGTGGTAAAATGGTGACTGATGCACGTTAAATCTGTCGAGTCGCAAAGTCCTCCACGTTCCCACAACAAATCAATACCTCTGGGGGTACTGAATTGGAGATTGTTCTCTGATTCAGGTCAAAATTACGATCTGTGGATGAATGAATGGATGTACGAATGGGTCCGCTCTATAAACGGGCGTGACGTAATGGGATGTGGCAGAGTTCGAATTCTTGGCCATAGATGGCGCCACTTAAAAACAAGTACAATCGAACCCCTCTGCTTTAACAGGCATAAGAAAGCAAGCAACAGTGTATATAAAAAAACTCTTATCTTTCTTTTCTCTCTCCTTCACTGTATCTTATTCTTCTGATTTTCATGTGAAAATCATCATTTTTTGCTTCTATTTAACGATTTTCCATGTTAATACTATTTTCTCCCATTTTTTTTATGTATATTTATAAAGAAATAAGAAATTTTAGTGTAAAAAAATATCTGAGTTTTCGTAAAAATGTTTCTTTTTTTGCTTAAATACAGGAACTGTTGAAACTATTAACATTAGTGTATCTGCAAATCCATGTTAGTATCATAGAAATTGCTCCCATTAGAGAAATTATTGGATTAGATTGTCTTTAAATTTGGAGGCAATTTAGTCTTTAATTTTTAGATTCTGGACTTCCAGCCTTGAATGTGTATTTTTAAAGAAATTTGCAGTCTAACTTGATTTGTGTCAATATTTGGTGACATAAATAAAAGTATAAAAAGGAAAAGGGTTAGTGCCAGGTGTGTTGTGTTAAATAATTGGGCAGAAAAACTCAAATTTTAATGATAATAATAATAATAAAGGCTGACCAGCCTGTGTAGGGGTTAGGGAACTGCCCTTTCATCACAAAGGTTCTGAGTTCGAATCCCGGGCAACGCATGGATGTTCTTTCCTTCTCTGTACTACCTGTCCTTACTGTGGGAGCAACGTTGACCCACCTAATAGGTGCCCCTGAAAGAGTGGCCAACAAATCTGCCCTTCAGGTGCCTGTATGACCTAGGTCATTATCCAGGTGGGTATTGGGGAAAAAAATAATAGCAATAAAAAAAAAACACATTTTATCCTTTTTGATGCATTTTAACCTTTAGTGAGTGTAACTTAAAAAGAAAAAAGTATCTGAGTAATTTTGTTATTAGCATTTTCAGGTTCATTTTTGTGCATCATACATAGCTTTTATTTCTGATCATTTTTCTTGACTTAGTTATGTCAAGCGTTCTGATTTAATGAGCAAATGGCCTTGGTCTTCGTGCGCTTATTATAAGTGCTTTCCTCTGTATATTTGAGAGAGCAGTATTACACTAAGCTAGCGATTCGATTACTATTTTTAATTTATATAGTTATGATTAGGGTTTGAAAAATCTTGGGTGCAGGGATGGTCATTATGGCAATTAAAGAATCGTACTTAGCACCTAATTGTTTTATAAATTTTAAATTGTTTTTTTTTAATCCATAAAATTAGAAAGTTTTCATTTAAATTGAATGAATAAAAAAGTCTATTATTCTTTAAAGAAGTCGCATTTATTTTTAAGGAAGTTGTATTCTTGAAATTCTATTTTTAAGGAACTATTTGGTCAATTTTTTTACAATTTTGTCTTATGCCATTAAAAATTACATTCTTTAAAATAATGCAAAAAAATTTTACCTTACTAATCAAAATTTTTTTGAATATTATTTAAAAAAATAATACGTATTTACTAAAAGATATATTTTGCATGGAATTATTTTTGGATAAATGAATATTAAAATTATGTGCAAAAAGTGAAATTAACATTAAGGTGTCCAAACCTTAACTGCTCTCCTGACCAGACTAACGGGACCATATTTCCCAGATTGCAGCTTCCCCCATAATTTGAAGGTCAAAAATGGGAATTCGTTGAGAAGTATGTTTCTTCAGAATCGTCTAAAATATCGTTTGCACAAATTAATTAGCAAATTTGAATTAACCCCCATGAACCTTGGCTTAGCCTTGGAGCCACACCCTACGAGACATTTTTCAAATTTATTACTTGATAATGTAAATTTATATTAATAATGAACATCTCTCTTTACTTTGGAGCTCCATATATTTCTGAAATAAAACATTTTTATCGTGAATCATTACTGGATTTTTTATTTAAGCAGTTTATGATGTTTAACCTCTTAAAGCAAGAGTTCTTTTTGAAAAATTTGGTAAAAATATGATCTAGTTTTTTTTTGGATAGAAAATTAATATATAGGTATAGTGTAAGTTATTTTTTTGCAATTTCAGATGTGGGGGTGACTAGGGGGCTAAGGTTGGAAACGTTAGAAAAAAAATTGCTGTACAAACGAAGTTTAAACAATTTGATTACAGGTTTTTTTTTGAATTTCAAAAAATTAGAATCAAATTAAATCAACTCAAGAGATCATCGCTGACACTTACTGATAAATTGACTTGTTCAAAATTGGAAGATTCACTCATTAATGGATAACGTTTTTAAAACAAGTCACAAAAACACTTCATAAAAACTAATTTATGGTTAATTGTTTACTTTTATGATATTTAACGCAATAAAAATGGATTTATTACCTTTTTCACCCCAAACAACTGCTTTATAACAGAGAATTCCTAACAAACTTATAACTGATCATCAAAATGCACCGTGTCTTTTAGAAAAGAAAAATTTGATGTCATTTACGGTAAATAAATTTAATAAATTTTTACTAGAACGGATCTCACATAGCATTGGAAATAAAATTAACACGAGCTTCAAGGTTCCCCGTGTCACAAATGCGTTAAGTGGTTCTATAATTGCTGACCTGTATCACTCTGGAATAAAATGCAAATAATTGGAAATACATCTGTCATCTTCTTCAACTAATAGTAAATACATCAACTTCTTCAATCACCAAACTTTTCCTTAATAATTATACATATTCTATATTTACTTAGTTTTAGTAATTTATTTAATTTAATTAAACTAAATGGATATGATTATAATATAGATGTTAAACAACAAATTGTTCTTATTAAAAAATAATGGAAGTTATAATTTTAATGTTTCATCCACATTTGGATCTTTTTTTAAAAATTTATTAGTCCTTTTAAAGCATCAAATAATAATTTAGACATAATTTCTGTGGATAAAACCTTCAGTATTAAGGAAATCAGACTTTAAAATGATCATTTTTTAGAAAATCAATGATTTTTGTTTGTTTAAAAAAAATCAATTTATTTAAATCATGATTTTTTTTACTACTATTTATTTAATTTGAGACAATATTAGTAAGAATATTTCTCTTTAAAAGTAATTTCTTTAAAATAAACACGATTACATAATACGCTGACTGCCATAATAAATTGGTCTTTGCTTCTAAAAATTGGGAATTTTACTAGACCCATGGTCATGTCATTCTTCTTCTTTGTCAGCGCAACAGCTTCTTGCAGGCCTTGGTTGCCTGAACAGCTGACAAACGCCAGCGCCTCCTATCCATGGCAACTCCCTTCCAATTTCTAATCTTTAGAGTTTTTAAATCATTTTCGATGTTGTTGAGCCATCTAGTAGGAGGTCTGCCTCTGGCACGTGACCCCTCTGGGTTCTTAAAAGTGACTATTCTCATGGCGCTATTTTTAGGGGTCATGTCATTACTAAAGCATTTAAAATAATTAAGCTATAAACTTTATTTATTTGTAAGAAATGAAAAGCAAAACGAAATGTGTGTTAGCAGTGATAAAATATTTATATTGTTGTAACTAATCTATTGTCTGATACAGTTTTTTTTTTAACTTTGTAGGTATGTCATCCCTAAATTTGCTAATGTGTGCTGCAGCTCAAGTGTACTTTGATATTAGTACTGATTGAATCTCTCCTTTCGACTTACTTGGATTTTGTGAATATTTTTTCAAACTGCATTTCTTTAAAATTAATAAATATAATATTAGTTGTATCAAGCATATAGAATTAAGGTATTGAATGTTTTTCAAATTTATCCAGTTGATTGAATAAGTTACATGTTGAATTAGTTACATTGTGTTTATTAAAATTTTCAGACGTTAATTTTAAAAACTGATATTGTGTTTAGTAATTTATTAGAAATGTTTGTAGAAAAATACATTTTAATTCTAGCATTGATTATCTTTTTAAAGATGTTGTATCCTTCTTAAATGCATATAATATTGACCATGCGTCTTATACTTTCCAAAATGGCTAAAGCAGTGTCCTAACATTGATCTTTTATATTTATATAATAGTGATTGCTGAGTTTTCAAATAAGAAATTGAATGTATCCTCTTTTGGTGTATGTTGAGATATCTGCTTTCACATTGAAAAAATTATGTAAAATATATATTTTGCTTATTACACTAATATTTCTATATTATTTATCCTTCAAGAGCAATGGGAATTTAGAGGAGAATTTCTCCACTTAGAAAATTAAACTATTCTTCACCTTGTAATAGAATGCCTGCCACTACACATGTTGCATAGAATGTTTGTCACAACGGAAAGTTTAATATTTAGAAATTGACCCGTTAAGTCAAGTTCGAAATGAAATGTTATTTTATTTACATTTATAGTTTTTTTATCATATCTTAATGATGTTATTTTTAGAATTTCACATAAAAAGGAGTTATGATAGTGTAGTGTTATATCTAATATTATTTAAATTATGTATTTATTTATTTTTTACTTGTTTACTATTTTATTCTTTTAATACTGAATACCTTGAAAAAAAGTTTTGCATGTTTAAGCAGTGATGTAAAATTTAATTATTATTTTCTTTTTTCAGATTCTGACTAACTTATTATTTTCATAATTTTTTTTAAGTTGCTTAAATTGTTTCATTAATGAAGTAACATCTAAGTTGTGTAAGGTTGTTGCTTGTTTCAATTAAAAAAACTTGTGTTTACAAAAATTATAAAAAATCCTTCAAATTCTAAAATCGTGATGTTTATAAATTTAAAATCTGCTCAATTTGAAAATCAATTAATATTGAGTTAATTCTTGAAGATTCATTTTGTATTTTTTATTCTTACTTTAAGAAATTTTTATGTGTGATCAATTTATTAAAATTCAATAATAATATGAATGTGAATAATGTTTGTGCAGTTCCTTTTATTGCTGATTTATTATTTTTGTTTTAGTTCAAATTATTGCAGCTTTTATTAGTATGAGCTGTTTTTTCATTTCTTCAAAATAATAATGTGGAATTTAAAATGTGGAATTTAACTAGGTTTTTCTTTTCCATTGAAGAACCTCATTCATTTTCAGGATAGTACATAGCACTGATCCTTTATTTTGTTTTAGGTCATAATCAATGTGCTGGTGGAAATGATAATGTTTTGTTATTTTCAAGCATCACTGTGTCCAGTGATGAATTCTTCTCTTGTCCTTTATGTTCATTCTCAACTTTAAGAAAAGCAGATTTTAGACGTCATATGAGAAAACATACTGGTGAAAAACCTTATAACTGTACATTTTGTAATAAAATGTTCAGTAGAAAAGACAACTTAAAGTATCATATGGTCGTTGTTCATTTTAAAAATGCGTGAATATAGAACCTATGTAGATATAGAACCTATGTAGACTTATATTGCAATTTGTTAACCTTATTAAATTTTTTTGTTTGTGTAGTGTGTTTGTTTGTAAATGTTCAATTTATATGTGATGTATCGCAGTAAAATCATGAACCAACAAAGTTTCATGAAACAATTATTTACTAAGCACAGAAAATGATTTTAAAAAAAATAAAATAGGTAAGCAACAAATGCTGAGTATTTTCAAGTGATTAGCCAAAATATGTCATGGTATTAAGCAGAGCCCGCTCTAAATAGTTGCCACCTCGTCAAATACGATAAAATCATAAATTAGGTGAATGATTTTTTCCTTTGGTAAGAAAAAAATATATTTAACTAGTTCCTCAAAATTACGGCAAAATTTTTTGTTGTTGAACAAATCAGTATTTTTAATTCGGTTACAGTAATTTTTGGTAGATGCGCCGCATAACCAATTAGAATTTAGTCCAATTAATAGCCTGAAACAAGCTATTGTAAAATAGTTTTCTATGGAAAAAATTATGCATAGAGATTGTCTTTTAGCATGCCTTTAATTATTGTTAATTAACTACAAATTTTTTTCTTGTTTTGATAATAAGTGTGAATTGCTTTTTGAAATATATACATAAAAAAGTAGAATAGGGTAATTTAAATTTAAAAATTGTTTAGGATCAAATTCAGTTATCTGATAATATTACACATTATGATCAATTTTTACAGCGTTAAATGAATGCCCCTTCAAAACTCAAAGTGCCCTTTTTTGCAAAGAAGCATCATGGTCTTTTTTATTCCTAGAGAGAACTCTGTTATTCACAAAGAATATTTTTGTTTTCTGACTTGAAGAAAAATATTACAAGAATGATTATAAATATTAGTTTTATATTTATGAAAAAAATAGTTAATTGCAAAAGTAAGTTTGAATAAATAGATATCCATTTTTAATTTCTTTGCTCTTCAGATTTCCAAAGATTTAATTCATTGCCATTGAATATTTTTATTTTTGAAGTATTGAAACATGGTATGATTAATAATTAGAATTTGTGATTTAATTCTTTCTTTTGGTTGTCTATGATATTTATGTATTCCATATTTTTTGTTTTTAGTTAATTTTTTCCTCTCTTATAATATTAATTTGAATTCAGAAAATTCATCAATGATATGCTTTGCTTCAATTCAAGTTGGGAAAATTTCCGTATCGTGATCTGCGACAGAATAATCTCAAAGTCTTGACAACTTCCTGGCCCGCGAGAAACTAAAAAAGGAAAATAATTCTGAAAAGAACCAACTCGGAAGATATTACTCATAAACATCTACATGTTTTTTTTAAAAAAAAAATTTGCAAGTTTAAAATCTATTTGGCACCTTGGTGATTGTAGCTGGCGCAGCAGATCACAATGCAGAAGTATTCCTTTAAAGTTAGTCATTTAAATTATTTAAATGGGGAGCCATGGTAAACGAAAAGCATGTTTTAAAATCGAAATTTGATACATTCGTTAGCTGTTATATTTGGGGAGTAAAATGTAACTATTTTTGTCTTTGTGATTTATTATTGGCTGAAAAACTCTTTTACTTTTAAATGTATAGTAATATGCTAGTATCTGTGCTATCATTAACTCAAATGTGAAATGTTTAAAATTTCAATAATACTCAAATTTTTCTGAACGTAGATTTAATACAAATGGTTATAAAATGTTTTATCTTGTGAAAAAACTTAATAGCATTTTGTTATTTAAAAAAATATCTATTAACCAAAACTTATACACTTGTTTTTTCCTCTTTTTTTTTAAAAAAAAAAAAATTTTTTTTTTTTAGTCTCAATTAGTATCTTACAAACCAGACAAGGAGTCAATTTTTCATTTGTTCAGAGTTGTAAATAACATTTGCCTGATTATGAGCTCGAGCTTAGAATATTTGTTGCTTATGAATTGTGCTAGGAATGTAACTTAAATATTAAATAAATATTAGATCAATACATTTTGCCTGAAAACAGTTTATTTGTGCCATGTTCAAGAATTCTTTGAAAATAAACAGCATTTCTTTCATTATTAAATTTGTATTTTTATTCTTATATATATTTGTGCTACTTATTTTGCAGCTCTTGGAAAAAATGTAAAACATCCTTAATAACCATTTAATGTGCTACATTTTAATTTGATTCTTCTTAAAACTTTTATTTTTTTATAAAGGTGTTAAATGTTAAACGTATATACATATTTATTACAATTCTGGAAACTTAATTTATGTCTATATATTAGATATTTAACTCTGAATGCATTCAAAATATTTCTGATTTTGTTACATATTCTAATGTGTATTTTCTTTTAGGTAGCTTTAAAAAACAGCATAGAAAAATTACTGTCTTTAGCTGTGAGTACTGTACATACAAGAGTCCATGGAAAAATAACTTTGCACGGCATATGCGATCTCATAACAATGAGAAGCCATTCTCATGCAAACTTTGTGAAAGATCTTTTACTTCAAATCAAAGTTTATCTTATCACATGAGCAACAAACATAATTTATTTCCTGGAAAATATTATTGATTTTTTTTTATTAATTTGAAATAAAAATTGTTTTTTTTCTCCATCCCCCCTCTTTTTTTTCGTTTCAACTTATTTATTTTTTTAAAATTCTCTGTCTTTCCTACCATCTCTTTCATCCATATTTATGTGATTCATTCAAAATCTTTTAAAAGTTAAATAAGTAATTAACTGATTGACATGCAAGCTGTTAATATATTACCAAAGAAATAACTCATTTTCAGGTGTTGTGAAAATGTCACTTTAAGATCTCTTGGGGAAAATTTTTAATGCTAAATTAATAACATCAGAAATTTTGCCAGCTGCTATGACGTAAATTGCTAATATAGTACCAAAAATTGAATTATTTTAGATTGTATAAAACTCTTCTTCTAGCTCTTGTAGACTAAAATTTTTAATGTAGCATAAACGAAAAAACTGGAATTAAAAAAAAAACTGTGCAGCATAATTTAAAATGGTTTGTACTTCAGTAATTAACTTTTTTCTCGCTGAACATTAATTAAAATAAAATAAAAGTGCAGTCAAAAATAAACTTTAATTTGTAAACTGCATAATGTTTTTTTTCCCCTTAACTGCAATAGCATTTATTTTCCATTAAGTTTTTGTGCTAGTAAACGGCACTTGTATCAAAAATTGTAAAAACATCGGATAGCAGTTAAAACTATAAATGGCAACAAATAAATAAAGAATTGTTAACCAAATTTTTTGCAGTCTGATTTTTTTAAAATCTTTTTGCAGATTAAGAAAACTGGTTTCTTAGATAGACTATTTGATTCGTGAATGTATTTTTCTTTCAACAACTTTCTATGAACTTAAAACTTATTCTTTACTTAATTTATTCATTTATTATTATTTTTCTGCCTGTTTGGAAAAATTTTTGAATTGTAATATTGTATTTTTTTTATGCACGTCTTAGGTCGAAGAAATTTTCATGTGGAGATGAATAACTTTGGGGTTTCACAAAGGACTCTTGATCTCTGTAAATATAATGAGTATTTATGCCCATATTGCTCATATAAAACGTTCTACAAATGGAACTTAAAATCACATGTTCGTATTCATACTGGTGAAAAACCATTTGAGTGTAAAATATGCAGAAAAAAATTTAACCTGAACCAACATCTTCGGCGACACATGCTTACTATTCATGAATGGAAATGATTATTTTGCTTTATGTATTTTTTTTTTATCATTATGCAGTAAAAGCTTAATTATCTTTATTCTTCCGATTTTTTCTCTCCAACAATTTAAAATGTTTTAATGCATACCTAATGCATACCATTAGGATAAATATTTTAAAATTACCTTCCATTAAGTTATTTCAAAACAAGAATCTGACTTTGTGTAAATAAGAGCCCAGTATAAATTGGTAGTTGTTGGTTAAAGGGTTTTACTGTCTTGTGCTGTATATTTTTAATACTTCTGTTATAGCTCATTCAATTAATTGTTGTTTGAATGATGTTCTAAACATTTAAAATATTTGATATTTTAATTTTTGTCTTACATTTATCAAAATTTAAGTATACAGGAAAAATAATTTAATGGAACCTAAAAAACGGATTTTTTTTCCCCTTTGGATTGTTTACTGGATATTTTTTTCCTTAAATCTTTGAGTGTCTAAAGATAAATAATTTGTTATGTTTCATTTTTTTAAGATAAATTATTTATCTATTTACTTATGCTTAAAGAATCGACGCTATACTTAGTTTTTCCTTTTTTATGTGTATGTATTATGTTCTTTTACATCGTTTTTCTCTTATAATTAACAAAAGCAAGTAATTATTGTCAGAAAAGAAATATTACATTGCATGATATTAAATTGTAAACTTTTAATAAACTGTTTAATTAAATTTTTACTGCTTATATTTTTAGTTTTTTGAATGTTTGTGGAGAAGTTAATTGATAGGATAATTCAATTTTTAAATGGACTTTCTTCTGTGATCATCATAATTGTAAAAATATTTCCCTGGCTGTAATTAACAAATAACTTGGTATACATTCTCTAAGATGTGTACTTAATTTCTTTATTTTCTTCTTTTTTATTCATATTTTAATTGCTGTAATGAAAACTGCTAAATGCTGTAAACCTAAGTATTAGAAATGTTTTTAAAAATAATATTGCTATTTGGAATTTAATTTCTCATTTTCATTCTGTTACTAGTGAAGATTTCTTTTTTCTATTTTTAATAAATCGGTGTCAAGTTCAAAGTTTCAGACTTTTAAAATAAATATAAGCATTAATGTTATACAAAAATATTTTTATTTATAATATTTTAAGAATAAAAAAATTTGCTAAATGATTATTAAATATTGAACTTCCTACAATTTGTTATAGTGTGAATAATTCGATGAATTTCAGTTTTGTTTTCATTTTATATTACTGCTTTGTTTCCCTTTGAGTAAATCACATTGTAATTTTTTGTATAATTATCTTGTCATTGTTAGTTTTCATGCATATTATGTAATAGTCATTTGAATAATAAAAAGTATAGTAGAAAATTAGAGAGTTATTTTGTTCAATTAAAATCAAATTTTTTTAATTTACTGATTTACATTTACTGTAATAATGTAAGGCAATTGTTTCAAAATTAATTATTATAAGAAATTTTATTTTCAATACTTGTAATTCCTGCTTATTTGTGAAAAAAATGTCTTTAATGAAATACACCTTTATTCTTTTACAGTGATTTTTATTATTGCTTTAAGCTTTCTAATTTATGTGCTAAAATTTTTTTTAGATGGCTTTGAGACTTTTGATTTATATACTGAAATGTTTTCTATTATTAAAGCTTAGTTATGCTATTTTTCAATACATTTTTTAAAAGGTTTTAGTTATTAAGAACTTTTAGAAATTATGACTATCAAGGTTCATTTTATCTTTAATTGGCTGACTGTTTTAAATTTTTTTCTAACATCTTTCTTATTACTTTCTAGTTTATACTCAAATGCTTCTGTTTGTTTATTTATTTATTACACTTTATTTAGTAATTGTCATCTTATTGAAAGCTTATAATTTAATTAAAAAATTTTAGTATTTGTTAAAGGTCTTATTTTTTAATTGTTTTTAAGCCATTTTTAATTTTTTTATTTAATTAAATAGTTGAAAAGAAGACTTAGTAAAAAGTATTATGTGTTTATAATGCACTATTGTAGATTGTTTTCTTCTATGTGCTGATTTCTAGCTGCTATGAAAATTTGTAAAAAAATATTAAATGTAATGGTATTTCTTTTCTTTTTATGCACAACCTAGATCGTGGAAAATTTGGTGTTGAAAAGAACAGTGGTGAGTTTTCAAGAAGAATTCTGTATGATAAATTTGTTGAATATTCATGCCCTCATTGCTCTTATACTACTGTCTACAAATGGAACTTAAAATTGCATCTCCGTGCTCACACTGGAGAAAAACCTTATCAGTGTAAATTCTGTAGCAAAAAATTTAGTTCAAACCAATACCTTCGGCAACATACTCGTAATATACACAATCAGAAGTAAAGTTTATAACTCTTAATTTCAGCTGGTTTATGCAGGAAATGCATCACATCTGTTTCTATGTTCTTCAAACGAATAGGATCTACTGTATTACCAAAAAATTATCTGTTGTTTTATTTTATGTTGATTTTGTGTTTATTAGAAAATGTTCCATTTTTGTTAAAAAAGTTTAATTTTTACTTTATTAATATATGTTTATCAAAATATTAAAAAGTTAATATTCAAATTAAAAAGTGTTGAAAAGTTTCACTCATTTTCTTAATTTAATTTTATCTGTTCTTTAGAACGTATATATATGTATATACAGTGCCTACGCTAAGGACTTTAAATTATTAGCCAATACATTAACCAAATATCAAAAGTATTAGCCTAATTTCAAAAATCTTAGCCAAAGGCAAGTCCTAATGATTAACTGTGATTTTTTATGATTTCCCATGAAAACTTTAAACCAAGTTACAAATATATTTTAAATTAAACTATTTTATAAAATTGAAATTTAAATCAAAAGACATTCTACATTTGGTCAGAAATAAATGAGCAATGAATTAAAATGTAGATGTTTATCATTAGAGGAAAAGAAATGGGATTAATTTTTAATAACTTGCTACACTAGAGCAGTAAAATAAGGATGATCTTAAAGCAACTTTTGATTTTAATTTTTTAGGTTCTAACTATCTTTTCTATAAATATATTTTAAAGAGAACGTTTCATTCTTTAAATCTTTAATTTTTTCTTACTGTCTCACTTATTTTTTACTGACACAATTGCAATCATTCAGAAAAAAGGATCGCGTAAAAGGTTAATTATTTAAATAATTAAATTCTACTTTATTCTCTTATATTGGTTTTTATACTACTCACAGTTTTTCATCACAATTTCGGCCGGGGCTTAACACGTTCATTGCCAGCCAAAGTGCCAGTGGTTATACTATATCTATCATTAAGGAGTGGTAATTTATAACGATAAAACCAAAGTTAAATTTTCTTATTTTAGCAACCATTTTAGTTTTTAAATTTAACAATAAGTTTATTTTAATAAATAACACGAGAAAGCAAATTTTTTATGGAAATAGTTGGTTGATAATATGCATGTTGATTGCACTTAATCTGTTTTATTGACAACTGTAGGAAAAATTTTGCCCCACAATATCTTGTGATACCGGCAACGAACAGATTCACCTGTATTTTATGGTAGTTTGTTTCATGCTTACATAATCTCTCTTGTTGCTTACATTACCTGGATTTAATATAATTTTAATTGGTTCTGAGACATATCTAGATGAAATTACTGTAATCTAGTTTTAAAAAACAAAACAGGATTTGTTAATAAAAAAAAAATGCATTTTGACGTAATTGTAAGGATTGAAGGGAATATATATTTTTCTTTTTAGAAGAAAAAATTGTTTGCCCGTACTTTTGCCAAAACACAATCTGTTTCGCCGAATTTACGATTTTATCTTGTTTGGCAAGGTAGCAAATGCTTAGCGTGGGCCCTGTATCTATACTTACATATATATATATTTTTACTGAACATTTGATCGGGGGATTTTTAGTATTAAATCTGAAGGTTTTCCTGTATAATTAACCTTTTTCTGACTGTTATTTAACAAAAATTTTGTGCAAAGGAAAAAATATTTAATATTCAGTGGATTAAATCTTTTATTTAATGATCTATTTTAATTTTGAAATTTTTCTTATGTTTTGTTTTGTATATTTAGTATTTGTGTTGTATTATGTAGTAAATATTATTACGCTCTTTTAATGCTAAAAATCATATTTTTTCAATGCTAAAACTGTACTCTCTATATTCATGCTGAAGTTTTTTTTTAACTGTTCTACGTAATATATAATATTGTTTTTTTCTTATGCATGTCTTAGGTAAGAGAATAATTCATGTTGAGCCAGCTAAATGTGAGGTTTCACGAAGATCAACCGATGTTACTGAATATTTATGTTCTTACTGCTCTTATAGAACATTTTACAAATGGAACTTAAAAATGCATTCTCGTGTTCATACTGGGGAAAAACCTTATCAGTGTAATTTTTGTAGCAAAAAATTTGCTTCAAACCAAAATTTACAAAGTCACATTCACAGTATTCATAGGTTGAAGTAAAGATAAATGGTTTTTACAATCACCTCAACATGTGTTCTGAATGCAAAGGTTATAACAATGAGAAGATTATAAGAATAAGCAAAACATTTAATATTATTTTCTTATTCTTCATTAATGTAAGTAACGACAAAACATTGTGTTTGAAATTTAAATAAATGTTAGAAAAATTTAGAAGCTGTTAATTAATTTTCCAATTATAATTATCCTTTAATAATTCTTTCATAATTTCTCTGTTTTTATGTTGTGAAATGTTTTTCAGCTTGAAATAAGATATGCATAAATTTGATTAGTGAAAATTTGTTACAGTGCCCGCCGTTTATTAAAATCCCTTTCGTTTTATGCTCTTTTGATAAAATATGCTCTTTTAATAACTTTTTTTATTAAGCGACTGATTTATTAAGAGGCGATTCAACATTTGAAGAAATTTTTTTTTTTGCGTTATATTCTAAATGCACACACACTTTAAAAGTTGAAATAATGACCACATTAATGCTTAATTTTAACTAATTTAATTATTTTAATAAAGTGAAACCCTACATAAGATTAAATTTACAGAAGTTTTGCAAAAAACCGATCAATGGTTGCTTGAGTTGCAGTATTTAAAATTAACTTTTCAGCATCATTTGAGAGTTTATGGAAGTTTTTATAGTTTTCGATATTCCTCCTCTTTGTTCTAAAGCTTGCCGCAATACATTAAGTGCTTTTCTGACTTCCATTGAAGGTGGCACTGATGAGTTCATCTTCTGAGTCTGATTCCTCCATTTCTTGATGGGGAATAACTTTGGAATTTTTGATGTCTGTAACAATTTTAGAATCAGATTTTTCTCCTGATGTTTGCAGGTTATCATCAATAGCTACGTAACGTGAAAAATTCTCGTCCATTTCATTTTCTTCATTGCTGATCATTTCTTCAAAACAGTTATGAGCCCCGTCTCCATCTCCATTGAAGCTTCACATTGACTACATTTAGGAAGCTGATCATAGTTTTGCAACGCTTCGAATTTATCTTTAAGACTCAAATCCTTCCTTTTCGGCATGCTGATAAAATTTAACACCAAACGAACTTAAAAATGATATGTGCTTTAACTATAATTTACTCAAACGACTTAAATAATATGGAACATGTGCACAGACAGTTTTTGGATATCTATTCATGTTCTGTGTTAAGATAGATAACAAAAGAGACTTGTCTCCCTTCTATGGTTCATTCAATAAAAAGTAAGATAAGAATTCGACCCCCTGTTGAGTGAGATAGGTTTCTCCAAACTTCATTCAAGTCAAGGAATTAGCATTGATAAATTGATTTCTATGAACTAGCTGCTTACCACCCACATTTTTCCTTAACTCTTACACTATGTATATCGCAGGAAAGTGCTAACCACACCTGTTTCACAGGTTTGTGAGTAACTGTTGCTTCTTCTAAAAAAATCTTTAAACTTCAAAAAAATAAAAATTTTTTTAAATAAGAATAAAAAAAGCTGAAATATTGCACCTTTGATTTATTATGTAGTCCAAATTTTGATTTCAAAAAGCGGCGGCATTGATTTTATTAAAGGATGTTTTTAACATGTATTAATATTGTAACAATTCGGTTCTTGCCGATTTGATTTTATAAAGCGGCTGATTTTATTATCCGGTGATTTTATTGACAGCGGACACTGTATATTGTAAATTGTGTAACATATTTTTGTTATCTTAAAAATTAAATTAATTTTTTTACTAATTTAAATCTATATAGTTTTAAAACACTTCCTCAGTATTTGAACTGAAATAATAATAATAATATTTTCCAATGCTTTAACTGTACTTTCTTTATCATGCTAAAGTTATTTTTATTTGTCCTGTATAGTGTATAATATTGTTTTTTTTTCTCATGCATGTCTTAGGTAAAAGAAATATTTATGTTGAGCCAGCTAAATGCGAGGTTTCAGGAAGATCAACCGATGTTACCGAATATTTATGCTCTTACTGCCCTTATAGAACATTTTACAAATGGAACTTAAAAATGCATTCCCGTGTTCATACTGGGGAAAAACCTTATCAGTGTAAATTTTGTAGGAAAAAATTTACTTCGAACCAAAATTTGCAAAATCACATATACAGTGTTCATAAGTTGTAAAGATAAATGGTTTTTATTATCATCTCAACATGTGTTCTGAATGCAAAGATTATAAGAATGAGATAAACTTTTTATATTATTTTCTTATTCATAGTTTATGTTGGCACCAGCAAAACATTGTGTTTGAATTTTAAATTTAGAAGCTGCTAATTAATTTTCCAATATCTTATAAGAATTTGTTCATAATTTCTGCTGTGTTTTTATAGTGTGAAATTTTGTTTATAAAATAGGCATGAATTTAAATCGTAAAAATGTGTTATATTCTAAATAGTTTTGCTTATTTTAGTTGCCTTAAAACTTTTCATTATAAACCACTTATGTGTGATATTGAAACGAAATTAATTTTTTTGTATCAATTCAATTCTATATAATTTTTAAACACTTCTTCATTATTTAAACAGGAATAAATAAATAATAACAAAATTCCTCTAATGCAATATTTTTTAAAGCAATATTGTTAATTTTATATTTTTATAATCTTTCACTACCTAAAAATTTGGTTACAGAAATATGACATTAATATTAGTCTACACATTTTTACTACTCATTTCTAGAGCTTCTGTTCCCTATTTCACATTGATGTGTGATTATTTTAATTCGATTTCTCATTAAACAATATCAAGTTATATTTAGTTACCTGTGGTGTTAGCTTTAGAAAAAAATTGTGTTATCAAATATTTGAATTTCATAATTTTTAGCGTTGATGCATAAAATGTATATATGTATTTTGCATTTTGTATATAATGCAAAAGATTAAAAATAGAAAATAAAAAATTTGTATAAATTTATTTTATTTATTTTTGTTCTTCTTTAAGAAACAGAAATTTTTATTGTATATACATTTTTATTTTGAAGAAAGGTATATTTATAATAGTAGATCCCTTCGTTCACCAACTCTTGTAATTCTTCTCATCCTTCTTAGTTTTTTTTTCCTTATAAGTCAAAATTTTCCTCCAAAACAAGGAACATTTTGTTAACAAAACGTGCAATTATTGTAGTTTTATGTAAGAACATTCTGTCAATATGTAAATCGTAATGAAATTAACGCGTACCTGAATTTTAAAAATAATCATCTTTCCTTGGAAAATAAATTCATCTAAGAAATACAGATTGTGTGCCTAAATAAGAAGATATTGTATATGCACATCTTAAGTAAGATATTTTTTAAGTATTTAAGATTGTAATACAGTGCACGTTTGTGTTCCATAATTATTAATAAAACTATTTTGTTCCATAAATTATTGATATTTCTTTCCTTATAAAATTTTATTTAAATTAATACGTTTCAATCAACTATATACCTATGTTCCTTTTGTATTATGTATTCAAACAAATGGAAAACTCGAGATTAATAATAAAAAAAAATTTTCAGCGCTATTTGTTCATTCCAAAATAAAAGCTAATTTAGTTAGGCGGTCAATTAATATTTTGTCTTGGGATTTAAAAATGAAAAAGTTTAGTCAATCATTGTCTTAAGATAGGAAACTCTTTCATATTAGGACTTAGTTCGATATGACTTTCCATTTTTATTTTCATTGTTTTGTTTCTTAATTTGATTTTACTTAGAAATTATTAATTTAACAAATTATGAATGTGAATTTAGGTCACAAAAATAAACTTAATAAATGCTTCATGTTTATTAAATGCAATTATTGTGTTGGATTAGAATCAAATCTGCATTTTTAAGTTCTATCTTAACTTATTTTTTGAAAATTTTGACTTAATTGTATCCCGGATATAACAAGAAAAATTTTATTGTATGGTTGGTTCTTTCTATGTTTAAAAACCTATATAAAACAATGTTGTTTTAAACCTAGCTTGCATTCAATGTAGAAATTTTCACTAACTTGTGGAAAATTGATTTATTGAAATAAACTGAAAAAGTTGAATTACTGTTTGTGAAGATCTCATTCCTTTCAGAAGCATTCCAAATAATCCCTTCATTCAAATAGTTGAAAAATTCTATGCAGATATGAAATGAAAAGTAATTATGTAAAATTTCTAATGTTATCAAAAATAGCCATGTTAATATATTGTGCTGTTATGCTTAGTATCATGAATGTTGTAGATTAACATAAGTTGATAATAAGAATAAGATAAGAATAAAGTTAAATCATAAATAATGCTCACATATTTTTCACTTTAATGTAAATCATAACAATTAACCCATTTTGAAACATTTTTAATTCAATTTTTGTGCACTATGACTTTTATTTGTGAAAATTTCTATTGAGTGGGATGTAACGAGCACACCTTTTTAAGGAACTGATTATCTCAATCCCTGCATTCTTATTATAATGGTGCTCAGCTTGATAGTTATTAACAGAAATGAAAGGAATTACTTAATAAAATTCTTTTATACTTCAAAACAAGAGTTTTATCCATCATCAAACAGTAAAGAATTATAAGAATCCACTCTGAATGCACAACGGAAACACTTAATCACTTTTCCACAAACTTCCCTGCTTTTTGTTCGGTATGTTGGTCTGATCATACAAAACATAATGCTGTATCTTTATTTAATTCACAATTAATCTAACTGTTCATATAGTTCATTACCTTAGTAATATGTAAAATTGTAAAGTGATAAAATTAGGCAGGAAGCATAATTTTATTTTATTATGTCGTTATATAGTTTTAAACTGCTTGTACTGTATATAAAAATTCTATATTCTAGGAACAGGATTTGTTTTGAAACGAGTTCTTCATTATAAAGACAATGGAATAGACTTGGAATTGTCGAAATTCCGTTTACATCCATGCATGTATTGCAGCTATTCAACATACAATAAAACTAATTTAAAACACCATCTGGTTACTCATACCAAAGAACGACCGTTTGTTTGTAAAGTCTGCAAAAAAGATTTCACTCGCAAGCACAATCTTGTACTGCATGAAGCTAAGCACTATGTAATTTAATTGGATGTAGTAACTACACTGGTGGACAAAATTAATAGACGGAAAGCATTTTCGCACATTTCTACGACGCTATATTCTTCTATGACGCTACCTCTGGACGGTTATTGATATGGAGGGAATCTGGAACCTGATATCATCCCAGCAACATTATCGAAAGGGTCCTAGAGCCTTTCGGGAGGTCCTAGAACCCTATGTGCATCTTTTCAGGGGTGCTGTTGGCCCCGACTTCATTTTTATGGACGACAATGTACGGCCACATAGGGCTCTCATGGTTGATGAGAATCTGGAAAGCGAGGATATTCAACGAGTGAATTGGTGAGCCAAATTCCTTGACCTGAATCCAGAGCCGGATTATACCTTTCGTAGGCCTTAGTCATAGCCGTTTGTGGGCCCTCCCCTCCTTCCCCCACTCCTCCCCTCTTTTCAAAATATATGCTAAAATTTTCTTGCATATTTTTTTTAAACATTTTTATTAATATGGATTTTATTTTACAAATTTGTTTATCGAACTTTATCTGCAATACCGACATACTGCCGATATTGCAGTTGATATCGATAATACCATTATGATTAGTTCGATCGATAACTATGTAAACACTTCACGTCAACAATACAACAACAAACTAGCCAAGAAAACAGTGAAATTGATAATGAGATTAATTACAAGAAATATTTATACTACAAATAGCTTCATAGTTTTCATGATACTACTATGATAACTTAGNTTTTATGGACGACAATGCGCGACCACATAGGGCTCTCATGGTTGATGAGTATCTGGAAAGCGAGGATATTCAACGAATGGATTGGCCAGCCAAATCCCCTGACCTGAATCCTATAGAACATGCTTGGGATGCTCTTGGGAGAGCTATTGCGATGCGCCAACCTCTCCCCAAAACCTTCCACAAGTCCTCCTTAACTCCCTTATTAACAGCATGTATACTGGTTGTGCATGCAGTCTGTCTGTCAGGGGTGACCATACACCATACTAGAGGCAACACACGCTGTACAAGCCTCCATTTTATTGTTATCTTTTATCCTTAAGTTCAGACTACATTGGATTTATTGGCAATAGATTTTGCCAGTGAATGGCACTTTCATTTTTGTTTTACATACTTTATTATCATGGAATAAGCTATATCCATACCAAATTTTATTTATTTCAATTCAGTATTTTTTGAGATATTTGGGAAAATGTTTTCCATCTCTTCATTTTGTCAACCAGTGTAGTTGGTATATATGTATGGTACATACTATATTATAATTAGGTAGTATGGACAAAGTTTATGTCTATAAGTGTATATTAATATTAGCTATTCAAAATGGTGAAATTTGTTTATCTTTTAAAATTCACTAGTTTTTGTGTGTGATAATTTAAAAAAATTTTTTTATTGTCACAACCATAATTTTGATTCTACATTAAATATTCAATTTGAGTATTTTCTTATTTATTTTACTTAATTGCTTTTAATATATGTATTTTAAAATGCACTTCCGTTAAGAAAAGTTGTATGCTTTGTTTAGCAAGTGTTCATTTTCTGCTATAAGTTAGTATTGCAATGTAACTTATTAATATTTTATAATTGGGATTTTTTTTAACACTAAACTGTAAACGGCTTAATACTGTTTTTACTGTCACCTTCATCTACGTCTGAATTTGCTTTTTGGAAAATGTCTTGACTTTACCCTAAAAATAAATTCTATTTAATTAAATGTTACATCGACTCTTGTAACTGTTATTATCTAAGAGCAATAAATGAATATAGTATTGGTAAATCTACAGAAAAAAATTGGTTCTTTGGACCAATTGACTTAAAATTTCAGTAGTTCAGAAATAAAATAACTGGTCTGTTAATGTTAAAGTATGTTCTACCTTTTGCAGCCAACAATGCTTTTTGATTGCAAATTTTAAAAAAAAATTGCTTCTTATTTGAAAAACAAATTTCAGTTTTTGTAAATCTATAATTTTATAGCTTTTTTAAAATAGTTAAAATTGTCTTCATGTATCATTTTCTAGTCTAAAGCTTTATTTATAATGTATGTTATTCCATCTCAATAAGTAAGTGTCACTTTTGGTATGTTCCTTGTCAGTAAATATTATCGCATTGTTGTTGGAACTCTTCTTATTATTGGTTATTTTTTATAATTTAGTAACGAAGGAAAAAAAAATTATAAGTCAATAAATTTTTATGTAATTTAATTCAATGCTATAATTTAATCACTCACTTACCTTAACATTTTTCTATATATGATGCCTTTATTTTGTTTGGAAAGAGATTACTTTTTTAAAATGGCTCTATCCACATCTTAATTCAGCCTAATGTTGTTTGTTTGCTTTAGCTGCTGTATTATTTTAATTTCTGAGGTCATCATTGAGACATTAAGTAACAAAATTAGATTTTGTGCACTTTTGTTTTTTTTTTCCACCGTTCTCATCCATATTTTCTGTTTTATGGTTGAATTATACTACTATTAAAAATAAAAATTCTGTATTTTAGGGACTGGATTTGTTTTGAAAGAAGCTGTTTATTGTGTGGAAAAAGAAATGGACATTGATTTGTTAAATAATCGTTTACATTCGTGCATGTATTGTAACTACACTACCCTTATTAAAACTAATTTGAAGCACCATCTTGTTACTCATACCAAAGAACGGCCATTTGTTTGTAAATTTTGCAAAAAGAGTTTCACTCGCAAACACAACCTCCTACTGCATGAAACTAAGCATTATGTTGTATAACTAGATCTGTACAAACATAAAAATATTGATGACTGTAAATTTATACTTTGTGCGTATAAATGGAGAATTTTAAATTTTTAAAAAATAAAATGTCTTTTTTTTCTTGGGCTTATGTGTATATTTTTATCATTAGGATAATATACTAAGAAGCTTTACAAATAGCTTTGTATATATTAAGCCTAAATATTTCAATGTATCGGAAAATATTTAGTTGCTGGGCATTATTATTATTATTATTTTTTTTTGTCCACAATTATATTTAGTAAAATCTGTTGTGCAGTAAAGCAACCAGACCATATTATAAACTTCATTTGAGTTCAACATTTAAAAAAATTAAGTCAATGATATGTCTTGTTTTTGAGTTCAATAGTTCAAGGAATCAGGTAGGCAGGAATAAGTGACCAGGAATGACATTACTAGTTGCATATTAGATAGTTTTTTTTATCGAATAACATTTAGAAAAATCTGTTTTGTGCAGTGAACCAGGCCATATTTAATTCAGTTCCAGATTAGTATTTAAAAGGTTATGTTAAAGCTACTTAACTGTTTTGTTCATCAAAAGGGATAATATTTAAGGCTGAAAACTGTGCTAATTGGTCATCATTTTGGTCTTTTTCATCATTCTATTTAACTATAGAATTAATGTTCTTCAAGTTTAGTATTTGTCTTTTCCCTCTGGGTGTTTTAAAATTGTTGTAAGAGTAAGACCACTTTTTTACATTTATGAAAGCATTAGTACATTATTAATTGCATTCAATGCAATTGGTTTATTGCATTTCAACAGTGTTTTTTTTAAAAATAATTTTATTTAAATGTTACTTAAATCGTGAATGATAAAAATTTAATTTCGTGAATTTACGCCAATATATTTTCTAAACATCATACAAGAAAAACCATCTTATATTTTAGTTATTCGTATTAATAGGAATTATATGCATAAGTGATTTAGATTTTTATAGTTTTGATGTTATGAAGAGGCAAAAACGAAAAATTTTGCTATTCATCGACCAATGTCCAGCCCTCCAGCCCACCCATCGATTCTACATACATTCAAATTGCTCACTGCAATTTTTCTTCTTTGCCTATTTGTTTGTTTCGCTTTGTCTAATTTAGAAATTTATGTAAATCGACACGTTATACATTAAAATTAACTGAAAACAGAGTTAGTTTCAGTTTTAGAAGTAAAAATCGATACGACGTTTTTCGGTGGTCCCTTCGGCGTCGTATAAACGATGCTCCACTGTACTTCAATTAGTAAATTTTTAAAATTAATTAGTAAGTTTGAGTGTTAAGCAATATTATCATTTTTTCTTAAACACTTTTCAAATTAAATCATGCATGATTAAAATTCAGTTTCACTGCACAATTAGCCTGCTGTAATTTTTTTTAATATGTCAATTGAATTGTTATTTAATATCTACTAGGAAAAATCTTTCCTGATTAATTGTGTATTGAAAATAAATCAGTTTCCACTTGTTTAAAACTAACCACTTTATTTCAGTAATTTTTCAGATATATTTTTTTATATTTGTCGTAGAATTGCATAACCTTTCTTGGAAGAAAGCTACAAAATAATTTCTTCTGTCTTTGGAGTGCTACTATGATTTCAGTTTTTAAATTTCTTAGTTATAACTTCCGTATTCTTTAGTGAAATAATAACAGTATAAATTTTTCTTCAAAATTAAAGGACAAAGTAAAAATTTATTTTTTTTACTATGTTTATAAAGAATGTATAATTTCAATCTAATTTTTTCTACAAAGTTTTGCTTTTTTTGCTGCTCTTACTTAAATACTTATTTTTTCATCACTCGTGCATGAAGCTTAGGGCTTCCATGAACGTCTTCCACCTCACCCGAAAAGTCATCAACAGCTTCTCATTCTATGATTTGTTAACAATTGTTTTCACTAAGTGGGCTTTCATTTTTCTATAGAATTAAACTATCTATTTTTTAATGACATTAAATAATTGCAGGTTTATATATGTCAATAGAAATATTTATTTAATTTTTACATTTCACCTTAACTGAGAACAGAACTTTCTATAGCATATTTTGGTTAAAGAAAGTTTTCTTAGCATCAAAATTATATTAGTTTCTCTATATTTTGGAATATTATTGTTACAATATTGTGTATATTTGTTTGTTAATATTAAAAAAAACAGCTGTTAAATATATTGATGTATGTTGTTTTCACTATAATTAATTTTCCTTTCTTTTTGGTTGTGAAGGTACACATAATGGCTTTTTAAAGGTTGTGGATTTTGCACCCTTATCTTACCATTTGTTAGATAGATTCTTATCTACATTGTATATTTATGCTTTTATATTTGATATCAGTTTTCTTATTATAGTCGTTAAAGATTTTAATATTTTTGTTTATGTATCTTATAGACATCTACAATGGACCTGAGGGTATTCCAATTAGAAAAGAAACATCTACTTGTGGTTTTGGAAATATTTCTACATTTTCTTGCTCTTATTGCAATTATTCAAGCAATTTTATGACTAACGTAAAACAACACATTCGTAAACATACTGGTGAACGACCTTTCGTTTGCAAGTTTTGCTGTAAAAGTTTTACTCAAAAACATAATCTCAAAGCTCATGAAGCCAAACATATAGACTCAATATCTTATAAAATCTAAATAACTGAATTTTTGAAAATAAATCAACCATTTTTTTGCAATTATTCGTAAAATATTTTGCCGAGAGTTAAATAACCTGTAACTATATGTGTGCTTCTACCTCGGGCGGTTCATTCTCTCATTTTTGGAAGAAGTTACCTAGTTGTAATTAAATCTTCTACAACTTAAATGCTACATTTAAGTAGGCTTATCTATGTCAATACTCCAAACTTCTTAGAGTTTCTCTTGTTATTTTTTTTTATGAAGAAAAAAGACTTTAATGAGAAGCACATTATACAATGCAAGCTTGTGTGTGCCCAAACAAAAAAGGTCATCCATGAAAGAGTATCTTCATCGGTGAAAGAGAGGATAAATGAATCAATGTATCTTAATATAGTATCTTAAAGCCTCAAAAAATTCTGGAAGATAACAAGCATTGAATAGAGAACAAAAATCAATGTCCATAAAATAATAGTTGGAGCAATTTTAACAATTGGGGCCGATATAGGGTGCCTTAAACATCCAACAATTTGAGTTTTTTCACTATAACAGACTTGGAAGAACATTCAAAATCTCTTGGTCCATCAAAATAAGAAATAAAACAGTATGAGGGAAAAGCAAACTCCGCTATAACAGAAGAAATCAACAGGAAAAGGGGAAATGGATGGGTCATGTATTAAAATTGCAAAGACAAAATTTCAGACATGTTTCTCTCTCTTGGGGCCCCCGATGGCAAAAAGAAGTCCGAGGAGTGACTTGGCAAAGGCAAATGCTGGTGGGTTTCAAGAGAGAGATCTAAATCAACTTAAATGACAAATGACCATTTTGTTAAATGGTCTGTGTGAAAAATTGGGATAGATACTTGTTTTTATGCTGCATGATTTTTAGCATTTTTATTTGTGTTTAATTTTTTCTGCTTTTTTTAAAATTTTATTCTATTCATTTCTATTTTTTTTAACTTTCATTCAATCAGAAAAAAGGGAGAAAACTTGTTTTAAAAGTTTTTTATTTTTAATCATACTGTTACTAAAATAAAGGTGCAATATATTTGTATGTTTTAAATCTGTTACAGTTTTGTTAAATTTTTTTTTCTTTCTATTACTGTATGCATCTTTCAGTTTATGTGATTGTTTTAAAAGCATGAATAATAAATTAAAAGAATTAACATTGTTGTTTATGTATATTGTAGACATCTACAAAGGATTTGAAAATAATGCAATTAGGATCCAGAGGACTACAAGTGATTTTGGAACTGTTTCAACATTTTATTGTTCTTTTTGCAATTATTCAAGCTATGTTCTATCTAACGTCAAAAAACATCTCCGTAAACATACTGGAGAGCGACCTTTTGTTTGCAAATTTTGTTCAAAAAGTTTTACTCAAAAACATAATCTCAAGGTTCATGAAGCTAAACATAGACTCAATGAAAATTTTGTTTAAAAAATAAATTTGTTACATCTCACAAAATGTTCCCCAACAGTTAACAGCATGTAAATGTGCATTTTGTGTTTTTACCTCAAGTGATTTGTTCTCCTAATTATGAAAGAAATCGAAGACTTGTAATCTAATAAAACTGATTGATTTTGAATTAAAAATTTATATAGGCTTTATATCATTAAGAATTTGTAACATTACTCATTTTTAAATATTTATGTTTTTAAAAATCTTCTAAAAAATCTATTTATCTTAAAAATCTGTGTTTTATATTTTGTGAAGAAAAAAGGATTGTCACAAGAAATAGATAAAATAATGTCTGTACAGTGTGCCAAAAAAAAAAAGCGGACCACTCTGAATAACTTTTGATTTAATGATTAGATCTTTATATTATAGGACTCAATCTTAATTATTCAAGAAGGTGACCTCAATTATGCTAATTAATTAGTGCAAGTGATATTTTAAGTTACGAAAACGTACTTTCTCTGAATAAACATACTTTTTTTACAATTGATTTGTGTTTTTGACCCCCAAAATATATGGTCCCCATAGTTAGGCAGGAGAGGGATCAAAAGTTTGGACCCCTTAATGTTAATTTTACTTTTTGCATATTTCGCCATGTCTCGAGAGCTTTTTAGGTGAAACGATAATTTTTTGCACACATATTAAAATTCGATTATCCAAAGATAATTCCATGCAAACTATAAATGTTAGTAAATATTTATTATTTTATTTAAAGATAGTTGAAAAAAATTTGGGTTGTAAAGAAATGTTGAATTGTTTTTAATTCTCCTAAAAAGTTCTTGAGATATGACGAAATAGGCAAAAATTAACATTAAGGGGTCCAACCTTTGAGTGCGTTTTTCAAGCCATTAAAATTGAGTCTTAGAACATAAAGATCCAATCATCAGATTAAAAATTATTCAGGGTGGTCCATTTTTTTTTGGCATACTGTACTGTACACGAACAAAAATAATTTAAAGAAGTATAATAGTTTTTATGTTAAAACAAGTATTGTCCGCAGGACTGTGAGACACAAAATAACAGATTAACTCAAATAATAATGCTTGTTAATAGTATCAAAATTATAGTATGGTTTTTGACCCTTTCTGTTTCTAATTAATTATGTTTTATATTTCTAATAAGTTTTTAAAAATTTATTTTTTGTTTTTCATCTCAAATGCCTTTTAAAAAGATTGTTATGTGCTTTAATTTTAAATTCAATGCTATTAAAAATAAATGTACAATTTTTTTGGAAGTTTTGAATAAATTTGAATTTGTTTACATTTTCTTTTTTATCCTAATATTTATTTTAGGGGCCGTTCAAAAAGTACGTACACAAAAATGGAGAAATTTTAACCCCCTCCCCCCTTTTCGTGCATTACCGTACATAAGGTCTTACTCCCCCCACTTAGAGTACATACATTTTATCAGTCTACCCCCCTTTTTCATAAAAATTAAAATAATTATGTTTTAAATAAAATTAAATATTTATTTAAGGAGTGTGTATAAAAAAGTCAAATTTAAATTTGATGCATGCTTATAATGTACGTACTTTGTATAATACCTCCCCCCCTCCCCATCATACAAAACCGTACAAAATAGCAAATCCTCTCCCTCCCCTTCGGGATGTACGTACTTTTTGAACGGCCCCTAATTGAATATTTTAAAAAATATTAAAAATGAATTAACAATCTCCAAATGCTAACATTTTGTTTATGTATATTGTAGACATCAACAATAGAGCTGAAAACAATGCAATTAGGATCAAGAAAACTTCAAGCGGTTTTGGAAACATTTCAACATTTTATTGTTCTTTTTGCAATTATTCAAGCTATGTTCTATCCAATGTAAAACAACACCTTCGTAAACATACCGGAGAGAGGCCCTTTGTTTGCAAATTTTGCTGTAAAAGTTTTACTCAAAAACATAATCTCAAAGTCCATGAAGCTAAACATAGGCTTTAAAAGATTTTAATAAGTTGGTTTGATTAATTTGTTCTTAAGTTAATAATGTTACTTTTATGTGCAGAAAATTTTTGTATGTTTTTATTCGGAAATTTCTTTCATTTGAAATCTTAACTATTTATGATCCTATTTTTGCTTTCTTTTAGAATTCCTCTTATTCTCTTTATATAATTTCAGTTCCTTTTTGTTATTTTATCCTATTTTTGCTGTTAAATATGATTTTATTTCTACTCTTTTGAAAGTAATTGCTAATGAGATCAATGTCACTAACATACTTTTTGCTGTAGAAGGGTGATAGTTGTCACGCAATGGCATGATAACCGATCAGTTGTCAGCCATCGTTCTATAATATTCACGCCTGAAAGTTAAGCATGTACTTGTTTTACTCATGAATCCACAAAAAGGGACCATATAAAATCATTCCAGTTGTCCATCTAATTTAAGATTTCTTAACAGATTCTGCTGTTAAAAAGTAGACAGCTTGGCTGCTTTCCCCCTCTATATACTGCTTTTGAAAATCGATTGAAAAGACTGATAGTTGCTAGTTATCTTCCATTTCTTTTGATCAGCAGCATTGAATATCTGTTCCTTTTTTGGATTTATAGCATCAATGCTCATTTTAACCTTGTGAATTGGAACCTAACCCAGAAGAAAAAGAACTTCCAAATCTAGGATCTGAACAAACCTGCCCGTGAGAAAATTTTTAGATAAATAAGGAGAGGAAACCCTCCAATAGTTAAAGGGGTTTAACCCTTGAGCCATCTGCATCTGGGCGGGGGGGGGGTTTANATAATTATTCTATTAGCTCTATTCAGTTTAATTCAGGATCAGTATACGAATCGAGCATTCATCAGCAGTATTTTTTGTTTTATAACTGTTGTTGAACAACCAACCCAATTTTATGGGTTTACGACTACTAATCTTCTACTCTGTACCCTTGTAATTTTGAACCCAATCCAGATGACAAGGAAACTTCTGGATCGAAGATGGGGAGAAGTTTGCCTTTGTGGAGGACTTTTTTTTGATGGAGCTAACCCGCATTTGCTCTACATGGAGAGGAAGACCATGAGAACATCCCACGGTTAGCCTGATGGCAAGGGGACTCTAACCCATGATCTGTCTACCACTGAGGATATTTCACATCAGCACTGTGGTCGGTGCAGTCCGGATGCGGAATTCGTAACGACTGGGATTCGAGCCCGTTCCGCCTCATTGAAATGGGCCCACTTTAGCCCCCAAGATGTCCTAGCTATTTTTTTATTTTTTGCATGACAACTACCGCCTTCTACTGAGTGAAAAATGAACAAATCCTTTTCACTCTGGCAGCAACTACGTTTTAGATCTGCTTCAATTTTTCTGTTTACAGTGGTTTTAGTTTACAGTTCACTGATCATTATTAATTTCCCACACCTAAAGCTATGCTTTTAAACCATTGTGGCATCTTTGCATATCCCAATGTGTTTGTACGTTATTGATATTTTATAACAATTAGAAGTAAATAAATGTGTTCTAAATAATAAAAAATTTAAATATTTATCTAAAAAAATATTTGATTTAACTTCTTTTTTTTTCTCTCTATTTTATCTTGTAGTGACTAACAAGGAAGCTAGACATATGTTTATAAAAAGGCATGAATCTGTGAGTGAATTTGGAAGTCTTGTAACATACTCTTGCCCAGTTTGTGATTATACTAGTTATAAACTACATAATGTCAAACAGCATGCGCGTCAGCATACTGGAGCACGACCTTTTGTTTGTAGATTTTGTCATAAGGCGTTCACTCGAAATCAAAATCTTAAGTTTCACGAAACAACTAAACATTGAATTATTTAAATTCTTTACTTCTTCATTTGTTATAACCTCAAGAAGTATTAACTGTAATTTGTTTATACTGTGGTAATAGTATAATTGAACTCATGACTCAGACGATATCTGGAATAATCAAGAAAAATTTTCAGATTTGTTTCTCAATAAAGCTCAAAAAAATGCCCTGCCGTTTATTGAACAAAGTTTCATTGCTCTTCTCACTGTACGAGTGCATTATGTGTCTTCATTGTTTAACTTTCCTGCTTTTTGTGACACACGACATTAACTCTGTTCATTATTTTTAATTCATTTGTTATTAACTAACCATTAACACCTTTCACTCGAAATCAAAATCTTAAGTTTCACGAAACAACTAAACATTGAATTATTCCATTTCTTACTTCTTCATTTGTTTTAACCTCAAGAAGTATTAATTGTAAATTGTTTATACTGTGGAAATAGTATAATTGAACTCCTGACTCGGACGATATCTGGAACAATCAAGGAAAATTTTCAGATTTGTTTCTCAATAAAGCTCAGAAAAATGCCCTGCTAGTTATTGAACGAAGTTTCATTGCTCTTCTCACTATATGAGTGCATTATGTGTCATCATTGTTTAACTTTCTTGCTTTTTGTGACACACACCATTAACTTTCACTCTTTGTGCATTTTGTAATAGTTTTGTGCTAATTAACCACACATTTACGGAGGAAAAATTTGTATAAACTCACCATACTTACAGGTAACATCTTATCTATAAGCATCGTTTTTTTAAGAATCTTTTTCACCTACAAAAAAAATTGTCCATCAGATGTTAATAGTGCATCTTACGAATACAAAAGCAACTGAATCACATTTCAAGAATAATGTGATTTACTGTAAGGTGCATTTAATCTGTGCCCATTTGTTTAAATGTGAAATGAGGTACAACACATGTGCACACTTTATAAAAGTTTTGATAAACTTTGTATATTGCATGAAATATTTTCTTTCTAAAACAGTTTATTAGCAATTATAAAAATACATCTTAATGTATCAATGAGACATTGCTTTCTTCACTGTAAAAAAAAAGGTATCTTGTTTGCATAAAATTTTTTATTTGAATTGTGCATACCTCTAGTTCATACTGTTTTATCTTCATTTCTTTACTTAATTTGTTCATCTTTGTGTCTAAATTAAAATGGTTCTGTACTGTTTCATCAAATCTTAGAGAGTTATGCCTTTCTCTCATATTTTTTTTCTCCATATAACTTGAGGGTAGACTACTTTCATACATCACACACAGAGAGAAACATCCATGCCTTGAGCAGGATTCGAACCCGCAGCCATTGACTTCACAGTCGCCCACCTGGTCAGCATAGCTTTTAACTTCATAAAGCTAAATATTGAATTATATAATAATAAATGCAACTGATGCCTATTGTACCTTTGTTTTTTTTTGTCCTTCAAAAAGTGATTAGTATAATATTTTTGTGACTAGTATAATATCTGTTTTAATAGGGAATCATTCTGTTAAACTTTTAAGAAATAATATATTTCCACTCTTACGTCCTTTTCTTAAAAATTCATTTCAATATATTTTGCGATTAAGGAAGCTGTTATAACATATAATTTTTGAACTTCACTGCAAGTGGTTTGAATTCTTTCAGATTCAGGGATAATGTTTTGTATAGATATAAAGAAATATTAGTATATATATTATAAAAAAATATTTGTTTTATTATGATGTGCTTTTTTTTTTACATGAAGATTAGTTTTTTAGGGTAATCGTATGAATTTATATCTTAATCAATGTTTTTGTTTTGTAAAATTGACTTAAATTTCCGCTAGAGTATAATTTAAACCCTTTTTCTTTAAAAATGTAATTTTTTTTTAAAGCATGAATTGATTAAAATTAATTCTTTAAAAAAACATTATTAAATATTTGTGTTTACAAAACATTATATTACTTATTAGAAATTTATATATAATGTAAAGCTCACATTTCCATATATGTTCCTTTCATCTTGTAGAGACTGATTTGGGAGCTGTGAATATAACAATTAAAAGACAGGAATCCTGAAGTGATTTTGGAAATATTGTGATGTATTCTTGCCCTTTTTGTAATTATTCAAGTTACAAGCTATTTAATGTTAAACAACATGTACGCAAGCATACTGGAGAACGACCTTTTGTTTGTAGATTTTGTCACAAAGGTTTCACTCAAAATCATAGCCTTAAGCTTCATGAAGTTAAGCATGAATACAAAATGATATGCAATTGATGTTTATGATAAATGATTCTATGCATTTGTTTATCTTTTTTATAAAAATAATATTTGGGAATCTAATAAAAACATATAATACCCATTATTTTTAATTTTTAAAAATAATTCAACCAATTATTTAAGTTTTCTCAAGAAAAAAAAATTCTATTTTGGATTATTAAATAATATTTTATGCTTTTTATAGTGGTTGTTTGCTTTTTTACACTTTTGTTATTTTCTCATAAATTACTTAATATGATTTTTGAAATTTAATTCAAGTAATTTGCATTATTTTACCCTTCAGGAAATAATTATTCTATTACATATTAATGGAATTTTCCTGTATTTTATTGTATGTGTTCGTAGTTTAAAACTTGTGTCATTTCCTTGGAAATTATTTTATAAGATTATGCCATAGTATTATGCATTTTCAATTTTTAAAACTCAATTTAAGGCAGTTGTATAATTTAAGTTTATTAAAAGAAAAGCATCCTGTTTAAATATTAAGAAGTGTTGCATGTCTGGGTTCGAATCTCTCCCAAGTCATAGATGTTCTTTCATTCTCTGTTGTGGAAGCAACTTTAGCCCACCTAATATGGTGCCCTTGGAAATCTGCCCTGTAAATGCCTGAATTGACGAAATGTTAACACAGGTGGGCATTAGAAATAAAATAAAAAACTGTTTTTTGTTTTGATATGAAGAAATATTTTCTATGTTTTATTGGGATTATTTGTATTTTCACATTTTTTGTTGTTTACCCCGGAAAATTTAGCATTAAATTGAATTGTTTTAGCATAATAATAGAATTTACAACTTTCTAGAATGAAGTAATATTTCTGGTTAATTATTTTTTTTTGTTGGTAATCCATTATTTTCAAACACTCCATATCAGTCTAACATTTCGTTTTTGTTACATTCTTTACATCAGGTTTTGAAGTGTGTTTAAAATGTTAATGGGAGCAAATGTAGTCAACATTATACTTGAAATAGTTATGGATGTTGTACTTAGCATTTGTAATTCAAGTTCTTTTAATTGATAAGCGATTTTGTCTTCGTTCAATTCTAAATAATTTTAAACCTTTATTATGATTCTGTGAAATAAACTGCAGATTTGTAAAATATTTATTTGAATATATCTTATTGTGGCCTTAAAACCAATGCCTTTTGTAAAACTGATTGCTGATTATATATTGTGAATGACAAATATGTCATTGTTTCCTGTGCACTTCGTAAATAGAAAATAAAAAATTCATAATTTTGTTGTTTAGTTCTTTTGATAAATATTTAAATTTAATTAAAAGTTTAAAAATACTGTATAGTATTAGTGTATAATTGTTTTATGAATAAATTTTGCAAATATTTGATGAACTATCGAATCTATGTCTTCATTTAAGTCTAATAAACTCATAGTAAGCCAAGCTGTGAAATCTAATCCTTTCAATTTTTAAATAGTAAACTGCATAAAGAGAATAAATGTGAGTAAAAAATATAAATTGATATCTAACCTAATTTTTCAATAGTAAACTGTATTAACACAATAAATGTGAGTAAAAACTATAAATTTAATTAAACATAGCCAAATTCCAATTGTTTACATTAAAAACATATTTTGTAAAAATTTTCAACTAGCAACAAAAATCTTTAAAAAGTTTGTCCAATCATTACAAAGCTTTTTAATAAACTACTATTATAATTATTATTATTTTAGTTTTAATGGAGATATAGAGTCATTCATCTATTAATTTTAGCTATTCTTCAAAGTAGTGATTTCACATTAATAAAAGTGTAGTTATTAGACAAAGAAAGATTCTATAACTAAGATTTACTATAATACCAAATAACCTGTAGAAGTTCTGTGTGGATACTAATATTTATCATCTAAAATTTATTTTCTGCTAGATTTTTATTTCGTTTAATGCCAGTTCATAAATGCAAATGATGTTTGGGATCCATTTTTGAGGTTCAAATGAAATAAATTTTTTTTTAAAAAAATAACTTTTATTAGAAGTTTTAAACATTCCGATAAACTTTTATTGTTAGTTAGTAAATAAAATTTTCCAAATATAGTTGATAAACAAAAGACACACTAGTGAAAAATTTCCTAGTATTATTTTCCATTAGTAAAATTTATAGTAGTGAATTTGAAATATCAGACAGATATGGTGCTCGTAAACTTTTTATGCATTAAGATTATCTTATGATTTATGCTCAAAATATGTTGTTCCATTATTTTTAGTAAATATTTCTTTAAACATTAAAAATTTTTTGAAATTTGAAAGTAGGAAAAACTTTTTTTTTTGGGGTGCGAAAGTAGATCTACCTCCTCGTGGTGCACCCTGGTAACGTCTTTGACGGCTAAAAGATCTACTAATTTTGGCATATAGTTTGCCATTTCTTTGGAGACCATTTTATTTGATGGCTTAAGATAATAGAAATTTTCCCTTGCAAGATTGTTTATTTTTTATTATTAAAAGATTGCTCACATGCAATATGGAATTGTCTTGAAATGTTTTTAGTTACAACGTTTGAATTAAACTGATATGCTTTTAAAAAACAGTTATTACTTCGCTGTATTTATTTGAATGTAAATTTCTTTCTTTATTTTATTTTTGTATGTATTAAAAATTATTGCAGATATTTCAGTTGAAACATATTCTGTGTTTGGTTTATATTTTGCGGCTTAAATATTTCGGCTCCACTTCTTAATGTCTTAAATCCTGCAGATAATATTCATAAGGATAAAATACTTGTTAAAATACTTATTCTTAATTTTTAACTGATATTTTTTCTAAACAACATACAATTAACGCAAAAAAATATATGTATTGTTTATGGGCAAAAATACCAAGGAAATATTCTGGGGCAGTATCTTAGATGGTGGAATGATACATTAATCCTTGCAGTGATTACATGGCACTTGGCGCTGTACCAGCCTCCTATTTTCAGTATGGTTTTTAATCGAAGCTGAAAGATAAGCCTTCAGCAATTTCTTGAGAGATTCTATGTATGCAGCTGTTTAATCAATTTCATTTTTAAGGTATTTTCATTTCCTTTTGTCTCTAGATCTTTTCTAGTGTTTCTGCACCTCCTAGGTAATTGTAATATTTTAAGATGGACTATATACTGAAAGCAAAATGTTAACCCATGGACAAAATACGTATTTCATACAGTTTGCAAGATTTTTAGTCGAGTCGGGCTGGGGATAATAATATTTACCCTTTTTTTTGATTTATTGTGACAAATGAACATAGATATATATGTATAGTTCATTTCTTATTTTAAAAATATTTATTTATTTTTAGGTATTCAAATGAATATTTATATGCAAGAATATGGTGGGTATCCTGTGAAACACAGAGTGTATTCCTGTTCCTACTGCTCCTATGAAACTGTCAAAAAGTTCAATTTGAAGACTCATCTACTGATTCATACAGATGATCGTCCTTATAAGTGCAATTTTTGTCCCAAAACATTTCGACAAAGAAACCATCTCAAATCCCATGAATTGTGCATACATAAAAATGAGCTTAGGTTGCTTTGAAGAAAGCATTAGTTTTCACAAAGCAGTTTGTATTTTTTCTTTTTCATGATTTTCAGATCGAAAAGTTTTGTCTATCATATAGTCAATGGAATAAATTTATTTTTTAATTATTTATTTTATTTCTCAATTTTTTCTCTCTCCCTGATATTGTATTATAGATTGGCCCCAGAAATCCATATAGCAATACAAGGTTTGTTAGCTTCCTTGCATTGTAGTATAGATTTCAAGGGACTGGAACTCTGCTTGGATTGTATAATTTTCTTGTTAGTAGTTTTATATTCATAAGTTAAGAACTCGTTGCTTCTTAGCACACATGGGCCATTCATGTTATTGAAAGCGGCAAATATTTTTGAAATCCGGTGCAGTAGTTTTTGATCTGTACTTTATATTTTTATTTTCTTGTACATTTTTGGTTTATTAAATTATTACTTTTTATGTATTTCTTTGATCAATATTACTATCGCAAAATTTTATTCTCACTAAAAAGTGTTTTTTCTTAGTTTAATTGCTGTTAAGTATTTTTTAATAACAACAGGAAATCTTTTATACAGTGTTTAAAAATCAATCAGATTAATTCCGTATTAACCATTTACCAGATTTGTTGATTTATTTATTTGCAATTTAACCTGATTGTTTAATACAAGCTCACCTATGGTTGACATCTTGTGGTTTGTCAATTCTTTTCTCTTGTTTAATTTATTAGTAAGTGGCTAATTTTTGTTAACTTTTTAGCATTTGATTTACTCATTCAGTGAGTGCTGTAGGGTGTCTACCAATACAATCATTCAATTCCGATTATATATAAGTATATAAGACATGTTAACTCAATTCTATGTTAGGGTACTTTTTCATAGAGGAAGGTTGACATTGTCAATAACACTCGCCTCTTATTGGTGACTCAGACGTGATCTGAATCTGAACACACCCACTTAGATTCGAGCATGCCGATTTCGATAAATGGTCCTCATTGAACAGTTGACTTGCTATCTGTAACTGTGACATTTTCGTCATTACGCTGTTGCTACTCATCGATTACACGCAGGCATATTCACTCAATTCTATGTTGGGGTATCTTTTCACAGATGAAAGTTGACATTGTCGATAACACTCGTCCCACAATGCGGATCTAAGCTTGCACGTCATGTATGCAACCGCTTTAGGGGCAAGCTAGGAGGGTGTGCATAAACTAGATAAAGTCTGAAAAAAATCTTTTTTAAGTATTTTTCATTTTTGCCTGCTTAAAAACAAAAATTACAAGCAACGTATATTCCCAAGTTGTGGAAAAATATTTTTATTTTTTCGCTACAAAAGAATCCTACTAGATGCTATGTAGCATTTCTTCTTTTTGCATCCAACCCTCATAAATACATACCCAAATATGGACAAGTTATACTCTGCACATGATGTTCAGTCATGTGCAGAATATAACTTTTACCTCATTAAGCTTTTAGGAAAACCCTTTACTTTAGCTGCCAACTCTACTAGATTTTCCAGCAAACTACTGGATTTTTCCTATTTCTGCTGGTCTACTGGTTTGATAAAAATTATTCTGGTTTTTGTACATTTTAGAAAATTCTCTAAAATTGAATAAGTTTCCTAAAAAAATTCCTATTGAAATAGCATTTTTTAACAGATAATTGTTTGCTTGAATATTTAATTGCGTATTACAAATACATAATGAAGCAAGCCTCATTTATAAGAATCAGTTTAAAACTTTTTTTGTTCTAAAATATTCAGTTAATTTCTATTCAGAACTCCCTTTTTGAATTCATTTAATTATCTTTGATGAATTAAATGCCTATTACTATTCAGAATTATGAGTGAACATAATACATGACGATTCAAGTTCATTTAATGTCAATCATAACTGGAAAATATTGCAGGTTTTCTATTTTGATGACTATAAAATTCCCTATGTGTAAAATATTTAGGACACTATGCAGCGATTATTATGAAATCTATATTATTTTGTAAAATCAATTGGACTTTTTCCTATGCATGTTCGCAGCTATGCCTTTAGTATATCAACTTGACTATAGCAATTTCAATTTTGAATATGTCTAAAAAAGTGCTTCATGTTGTAGTAGCTAATTTGCAGCTGAAAAACATGTTCACATGTTTTTAAATATCAAAATGTCAGTTTCTTTTTTTCCCTCTAGAAATTTCATGCAATTTTGATTTGCCAATTTCTGCCGCAACATTGATATTTTAACAAAAACCACTATTATAATATTGCTTAAAAAAAGAAACGGGTGAGTGACAGTTCCCAAATCTGTCCTGTCTTTTCCGATAACACTACATGCTTTTTCCTCTCAGGTTTTACATATGGTTGGCTGATATAATGATTTTTTTGTATTTCAACAAATACTTGTTCTTAACTTTCTAAAGATATAATTCATGAAAGTGTTAAGCAGTCAAACGTAATTGAATTATCTTTTTTCTTTTTTTAGAACTTTTCCATTGTGATGTTATGTTGGAGAAAAACATGAAGATTAAGACATATGCATTCCGTGAGCTTAGAACATCACATAATTGCTCTTACTGTTCTTATGAGTGCTTCTCACGTGGGGACTTAAAAAAACATTTACGAAAACACACTGGAGAAAAACCATACATCTGCAAGTTTTGTAATAGAGGCTTCAGTCAAAAACATAGACTTAATTCTCATGTGTTGAGCATTCACCCTTCGGATATGTGATATATTCACGAGTCATAAATTGAAATAATATAGATCTAGTTTTAAAGCATTAAATATTTTATAAGGTTGTTTAAATTTTAGAAATAAAATGTTTCTAGTTTAATGCATTTGAAAGTGTCTTACTTTCTGTCATAAAAATGTTTTACGGAATACGTTAACAGTAATGTAATGTAAAAGCATGGTGATAAATACAGTGGAACATCCAGGAAAGACCACTTCTGTGTAGCAACCTACTCTAATTACGACCACTTTTGGGAGGCGTGGAATTTTTTCCATAGAATTTGTGTTCAAGAAAACCTTTAGGAGAGACCACCAAAACCTCTCCCAGTGACCGCATCTGCACCAAATACTAAAAATATTAAATAAAGAAAAATGAAAAAATATTAACAGAATCAATCAGTAGATTAAACGCATTCAAAATATTTGTGTGAGGCTTTTATTTATAGAGCTCTTTTTGACAATCTTTAAAAGAGATCTACAACCTCATGTTGTAGTCAGAGTGCACTAAAGACGATGCTATCAAAGACTTGCTTTTAGAGTTGAAAGGTAAATAAAAGAAAAAAGTTATTTTAGAAAAAACTAAGCAACTCAAATTAACAAACCTCTTCTTGTTAACTAAATTTTATGTAATAAGATTAAATGTAAACTTGAACAAAATCCTAATCGTTTATTTATTCGAAATAATTAAATCATTCATAATTGGTAAGTTTGTTTTTGCACATAATTATATATGTAGGAATCGTTATTATTGATGCAAAATTTTATTCATCAATCTTGTTTTCATGCCGCCAACACAAGTGGCATTTCTGCACCAAGAAAATCGTGCTAACTAAAATAAAATTGCATGCAAAAAATCAAGTACCTTTGATAACGTTTTGAAGTCAATGGACATAAATTCTTAAAACGACTAACCTTCACTAACCATTTTACCGGGGCACAGAGAGTGGGAGCTCCTGAGATGCCTCACTGTATTCAAATGCATTTTTCCTTTTCAATAGCAGATGATAAGTGAAACCTTTATTTCTAATTATTATAAATTTTTATTCAAAAGATTAAAAGTTCTGTCAAAAAGGTATTGTTTGTTTATTGAACCATTTATAGTATGAAGAGTAATAAAAATGACCTTTATTATCATGTTCTACGTTTACTCACTATTTATTCATTTAAATAAGGATATATTAAACTGTGGCATGATGTACAATTCCTTTTTTAAGCATTTCATTATGTTTGAAATTATGCTCATTTTTGTTTTAATTTGATAGTATTTTAGCATTAAAATTTTAAGTAATAGTTGTCATAAGTAAAAAATTTGATGTGCAGTACATAATTCATTGGGCATTGGCATAATAAATTACACCAAAAAAATGTAAATAAAATAGTTTTTAATGAAGGTTAAATTTTATCTGAAGTGAAACAATTATCTGAACTTCCAAATGTTTATATTTCAATAGTTTCTTGATTGAAAGTGTGATTAATTAGCTAATATTCTTTAAATAATTGCATTTATGTTATAATTTTTATTATTTTAGGTTCTAATATGGATCTCATTGTTGAAGAACACTTTTATGAAGGTTCTGAGCATTCTATTAAATATAAGAGATTTGCTTGTATGTATTGTTCATATACATCTACCGTTAAAGGCAATCTGAAAAAACATTTGCACATTCACACGGGTGCTCGTCCTTACAAATGTGGAATTTGCGGTAAAGATTTCCGTCAACTGAACCACCTTAAGTCCCATCAGATCACTGTACATCCACGAAATATGATCTAGGTAGATTTTTTTTAGAATGAAATTTAATTTGTGTTTATATTAATGTTGTTGGTTTATTTCTTATTAAGTCTTTGTCTTGATAAATCTTTCAGAATGGAAATTAGTTGTTGTGTATTAGTATAAAGTAGTTTTTCTTTTTATAAAGTTTTAGTCTAGGTAGATCTTTTAGAATGGAAATTAATTGTGTTGTGTATTAAAGCAATATTGATTTATTTATGTATTTGCAAAATCAGATGACTCTTGCTATCCCGGTTAAATTTGTTCTTTATTAAGGTGTGGTGCATAACCCTTGGTTTATTTTGTTTATGCTAACTTAGATTAGAGAGATAACGATTCATTATTTTTTAGACTTACTAAGCAAAATGTAAATCATAATTTTTGTAAATTTAACAATTCATCAATCAAAGTTAGCTGTTGATTCAGTAATTCTTTTTTTTCTCTCTCTCTCTTTTTTTTTGTTGTTGTTCTCAATGTTTGTTTTTTGTATGTTTTTAGTCTCTAATGTATCTTTTATTTCCAAATATACTTTCCACGTGTGTGTTTTTAACACTAAGTATATATTAAATTAGCTAATTTGTATAGTATATTATGACATTTATATTTTACAAAAACGCAATGCTTCTGTGTACTGCATTATTTAAAAAATATTTTTCACGTTTCTCTTAGAATATTGAAATTTATTTCTAGGTTTTAAAGTCATGGACGAAATTCCAATAATTCAAGAAGTAAAATCTGTGACTAAAGGAAGAAAACTAATAAATACATAAAACACAATAAGAGGATATACTGGTGGATCAATAAAATTTTTTGCCAAGATCACTTGTAATGCATGCTTAAAATTAGATGATTTGAGCAATAATTTACGTGTGCATACTGAAAATCACCCATTGAAATGCAGATTCTGTGAGAAGTATTTTCGCCAAATTCAAATTTCTCACCCATACAGCCATAAAAAAACACATGCATTCGTTAAACTTCTCACCTTTACAGCCAAGATAACAATTGCATTTTTCTGGAAGATAATATTAATCTCAATTATAAATGATATGGATCAGCTTAAAAACTATAAAAGTATTTTTCCTTATTTTATTAATGTTTGTCTAGGAATATTCTTTCTTTTAGGCTTGCTTTGGAATAAAAATAAATGAAAACTCCTGTTTTTTTCTCCTTGTACTAAAAGGGAGATGTTTAATGGTAAAAAATCATCTAGTATCTACTCGTACTAGAGATGATCATTCTATTTGTGAAAACCTATAGGGAGAAATATTCTTTTAATAGTAGATAACTAAATTTAAATTAAATCATCTCGTAGATTAAAAATTAAAAAGTACTTTTTTATTTTTATTATGTTTTAATTTATGTCAATTAATACAGCTTAACACAAAATACTCTTAAATTTTTATTTACATACATATAACTGACAAAATTAATATTCACAATCTTTGAAATTGGTAAAGTGTTAAGCTAACATGAACTTTCATAAAATCAGTATGAATATTATGATAATCATAGTTTTTGTGACAGCATAAACAATTAAAAAGATATAATTTAAATTGTTGAATGATATATTTCATTAATAAATGAACAATTTTATGCATATCATATTTCAATTGAAATAAAATGCAAGTATTGCATTTGAATTGTTTATGTGTGAAATGTTGCCTTGAGAGTTCAATATAGGTTGCAGTGACTTTTTGCCTTGATATTTTTCATTGCCTTGATATTTTTCATTGTTTGTAACAAGCACTTTCTATTTTACGAGAAAATCAAGTTAGAAAATATAAAATTTTATTCTCTAATTAAGTATTATGTTGTTTTTAATAGCATAAACGGAAGGATATTGAAGTTTGCTGATTTGAAATATGGAAAAAACATGCTGTGTGAATACCTAATTTGATCATAACACAGTTTCGAAAAAGTGTCGAGAGTAATATGTTCATATTTGGTATTTTAAACTACGTGGAAGAAATGTTTTAAACTACACTTATTCCAATAATTTAGTTTTTCTATTCTAATGCCATGTGATAAATTTTATACAAAATATTGCATATTTTAATGTTTAAAAATTCTGTTTTATAATAAATATTGCAATAGTATAAATTGCTGCAAAATCTTGTCTCGGTCTTTTTTAGATAATGTGTCTTTAAAAAGAATAACTTTGCAATCTTTAAAAAGAAGAAACTTGCATTTAATTATAGGGCTGTAACTTTTAATTATTTCATTGAAACAAAAATGAACTCTTTAAAATATAATAGTCTATATTCAAACAAAATAAAGAAAATAGAACATTAGTTACTATGTTTCATGTCTGTACTGCTATAAGCTCAGAAATTTCTATTTCATTCATAACAATTATTTCATATCTTTGGGGAAAATTTAATTTTTGTTCCATAGAACCGGAAGAATAATTTTTTTGTGTAAAGATATTTCCTCTTGATTTTTTATAATACCCCACTTTCAATTTATATAACTTAATTTGAAAATACCCCATATTTTCTTCATATTTTCCTTTAATTTTTTAAAGAATTTCCCTGTTTCATTTTTAGAATATTTCATTGAGCAAATTATTGTATTAAATGAATAAAAAGATTTGGAAAAAAAAGTTAGTTGTAGACTGAAAAAAAAAATCAATGTACTTATGCATAAAAATATTTATGGTATATTATAATTTGAGTTTTGTTATCCAATCTAAAACTAAAATAAATGTAAATATATTAAATTTAAAAATAAAGGATTGCTTTATTTTACACTTAAAAATTTGAATATTTTAACTAACTTTCTATTATTAATAAATGTTAAATTTATAATCTGAATGAAACATGCAACAGATTGTTCTTCTTCCTAAATAACATTGTACATTTAAATTAAATCACTATAGGCATAAAATTGTTTAACATATTCTTTTCAGATGTCTTTTCAGGTGATGTTTTCAATAATTGTTTTAGTTCATGAAAATATAATTGAATTTATCAATGTTTAATGTAATTTAAAAAGAAAATCATGTTTTTTTTGTTTATGTTGAACACTGAAATTTATTTCTAGGAATCGAAGTGAACGTATTTGTTCAAGAATTTGATTTTGGAAAGCAAGGAAAGCCAGTAAAATATAAAAAGTTCTCTTGTTCTGTTTGTTCTTACACTTCTTTCCAAATGGGTGATTTAAAGAAACACATACGTATACATACTGGAGATCGCCCATTTGTTTGTAACATTTGTGGTAGATCATTTCGTCAAATTTCTCACCTACGTAGTCATGAGTACAAAGTACACCCTTCTCTAGCGAAAACTTCTTTGTAATGAACCATGTCTAAAAATTTTACAAAGTAACTTACAAAAAAAAAAGAACTCAAGCCTCAACCGGTCTGTATATGTTTACTGTTTATGTGATCTGGTCTGTATATGAGAAATTATATGTTTGCGAGACTTGTAAATAATGAGTTGCACCCCAACACTTTGTATGTTATGAACATGCTTTAAAAGAGTCTTATTAAATGTTTAAACACTTACCACAGCCATCTTGTTTCTTAATAAATAGAGTTGAGTTCTTTATTTTAAAAACTCTGGTTCAATATTAATAGGAAATGAATTAGTTTTACTTAATATTGTTTTAGCTTAATGTCAACTACCATTGTGCTGATTTTTTTAACAGTATATTAAATTGTATGGACATTCCATGATAGAACTTTGTAATTTAGGATTAACTATATATATAAAATTCGTTTTTACAAGTACATGCTTCATCTCATATTTAGACTGCTGTCTCATAATGCTTAAGAAAGGGAAAAACCTTTAAAATTAGATTTCATATTTATTTAGTAAATTTAAAAAAAAAAATTTACAAAATTATTTTCTTTAATTTCTTCTTCCTTTCGCATTTTTTTCTGACGATTTTCTGATTTTAACATTTAAAAAAGAAACAGAATTAGAAATTGGTACTCCAATTTAAATTTGGATTTTTATTTGTATAGTGCAGTATTGATTAACTCAACAATGAACTCTTGAGTTTATAGTTAAATACAAGGCATGATGTTTAAAATCAAGTGTAATTAATTGCTTTAATATATTACCATATTTAATAATTTTTGGAAATATATTTATTTATGAAAATTTTTGTTTTTCACAAATGAAGGAAATCTGGTTCTTTTAATTCTTTCTTATCTGTGTAGATGTCAGTAAAATGGGTTTGAATAAACGAAAATTCTATTTCATAACTTAAAAAGAAAATTTTAGTTTTAGGCAGTAATCAATGGAATTTTTTCGACTTATATATATATTCGTTTCTAGATTTTTACACTTTTAAGTAATGAATTATGGTTATTTTATAGTATTGTCGTAATGATTGTATAATAATGTTCTAAATTAATATTAAGAATTAATTTTCTAGGATATTTTGTTATTATTTTTTTTTAATTGTGCAGTATATATATCCATTTGGAAATGAAATATTGCTCTTGATTTTTGATACAATTATGCTATTACGTAATGTCTGAAGAGAGGTGATTTAAAATTAAAATAAATTATTCATGTTTAGAAATAAATAAGTAATCCTATGTATGTAAAGTTTTATTTTATATTGTTTATTATGCTTGAATATATAAATTTATTTTCCTTGAAGTATTTTAATTCATATCTGAATTTCAATTATTTTTCTTTCTTGATAAAATTTTGGATCCTGTGGTGATTTCAGCTACTACAGATTTTTATATAAATGGTGTATACAAAAAAACTTTAAAAGTCAACTTCATAATCTTTTTGGTATCATACAAATATTACTAAACTGATTGATGGGGAAAGAGGTTTGTGAATTGCTTGTTTTGCTTACAGCAGGGGAGAAGGGGTACAAGCGATGCTAATGTAAAAAATAAAATGTTCTTAAAAAATTGCAATAAAAAAAATTATGCATGAAAACAATTTCAAATTTGGATTGAAAGTTTAAGAAGAGAAAGGAAAAATTGGAAAAAATATTTCTCTGAATAGTTTCAGATAGCTATGATTTTGATCATAAAAGAATATTCTACTCAAATTTTTTTTCATAAAAAATAATTGAAATGTGCATTTTTATCTTATGCAAAGTTACAACTTTGATTTGAATTTATTCCTAAAATTAGATAACTATAGTGGAAGTCAAAGTTAAGGTAAAAACCAGAATGGTAATGTTAAGCTGTAACGTTATTTAAATTTTAAAAAAATGAGTGGCCACCAAATGGCAGCAATTATGATGTCAAGAAAGAGATGATTTTGGTAACAGAGAGAAGTGTGCGTACCGAGTGAGATGTAGAAGGAGATCACATTTTAATATCTAAGTATCATTAAATATTATGCATGTTTTAGTTTATCAAACTCTTACTTCCTCACCCGAGCTACACAACACGTGATATAAGGGGATAGCCAACAATTAGGGTCTGTTGCAACTTAAACATGGGTCGAGTCCAATAATGCGAAAAATATGTTTACGCAAAATTTGGACGGATGTAATTGATGTCTCATCAATTTAGGACATGTTTAAACTCTTCGAAATACTAGTTATCTTGAATTCTTATAATTTTTCCCCTCTTAGGATCTGTTCTTGAAAATTCCATTTATGAGGTAATTTTTGAAGGAAAGAAGTATCATAACTGTCCGTTTTGTTCCTATGCCACTAGAAGAATTCAAGATGCAAAAAACCACCTGTGCATTCATACTGGAGAGAGACCGTATCACTGTAAGACGTGTGGGAAGACTTTTATTCAGAAGCAACATCTTCACTCCCATCAAATCAGACGTGCATGTGGACCCACTTATAAAAAATACAAAGATTTACCATTTAAAAAGGGAAAGCGATAAATTTCTTAAAAACAAATTTGTTCTTCTGGATTGATGTCAAGTTTAATATAGACATGCCAACTGATGTAGATTTGTCATAAATTGTTGGGATATTACTTATGATTTTGTGAAAGTGGAAAAACTTTCAGCATCAGTTTTTGTAATTATTAACTAAATATGATTAACTTTTTTTACCTTTAAAACTTAAATTTGAAACTGTAATACAATTCTAAAATTTATAATAAAATTTCTTGAAATGTTTAGTCGTTAAATTTTGATAAAGTTTCTGGTGCATCCGTTTATTCCAAAAAAAATAAATTATATGTTTAACTTTATGTGTAAACTTGAATTGTTTATATATTTTTTAATGAATTATATTGTAATTAAAAATTATTGCAAATTTTGAATATTTTTACCTGGAGCAACAGGATTATTTTGATGTTCGAGAAAGGAATAAATAATTGTAAAAAAGTAGCTGAATGACAGCTCGAAGATTTACAGAATGTAGACAAAGAGATGAAGTCAAGAAAAACTATTAACTCAAAGAAAAAATCATGAAAGCTAAAAAATTTCTAAATCGAAGACTTCCGAAGCATTATTAGTTTGAGTTCTTACTGTTGCATTAAAAGCAATATAAATGCCTAATTCCTTAATTTCTTTTGTGTTATTTTTTAATGTACATTTCTTTCCAACTTAAGAACTGATACTTGATTTTCAGTTACTCGTTTTTTCTATTTTAAAAACAAACTTATTTTTTCCTCTTAAAGTTAAACTTATTTACTTATTACATAATTTAATTTAAAAACAACGAGCAATTTCCCTTGTTTAGAATGCAATCCGAATCGGTGAAGTAGTTGAGTTTGTTTTGGTACTTAAAGAGTTGTGACAATTCACTCATTTTCAAACTAAACTTAGATGAGAGAGATATTCTCTCTTCCTCTTTTTTTTCTTTTTGCGAACAAAGAATTCAGTATTAAATATTTTTTATGAACTTTTATTTGTGTTAGAAAATATTACTATATTTTGTATTGGGAAATATTACTGTATTTGTATTGGGATTAAACTTTTCGTTATATTGAAATTCCTATGACGTATGCTTTGAGTAACTAAGAGTCTGAATGGTGCCTTCACACCTGCTAGTCAAACCAGATCCTGTATTAACGTTTCCTAATTTTCTAAAAAGGATTAACCAAATGTTATCGGCTATAGTTTTGTTTTTCTTGCAGAATTTTTTGAAGTATTGATTGAAGAATTCGTTTTAAATTAAGAATTTTTATGTCCTGTGGAAACTATGTTGTGAATTCTTTGAAATGTGTGCAGTCAAATGATTGTTTAAATTTAAGAGGTAAAGCAAGCTGCGCTAGGTATTAGCCCATTCTTTTTGACACTAATTACAACTATGATTCTTAATCTTTATTTGGTTTATTTATTTTTTTTTTGGAAAAAAATTGTGCGTTTTAAATGTCAATTATAATTTCACATTTTAATGTCATTTCTTAAAAATTCATCATTATTAAAGAAAAGTAGTCTCACAACTGTAAAAGTATCATGACAGATTGGTATCGGTATAGTAAGAATATTTTGTGTGTGGTTTTAATTGCTTTGTAGCCGATTCAGGTTTGAGGAATCATCTTGTAATATTTTAATTTCTTTCATCACATGGCGTTTCTGTATTCTGCATGGATATTTATCTACTTTAAATGAAGTTACATTTCTATCAATTAATTGAATTATTTGCAATTGATGTCCCTTATGATGACCTATTTCTGTTTAATTACTGAGAAGTGTAATTATGTTCCACTATTATTTTTAATTACACACGCCATAAATGTTAAATTTGAAATTTAGTCTGAGGGGGCAGAACAGTGTTTTATGTACTGTTATGTTTGCAGTCTTAAAATAAAATATTCTTGTTGTAATATTGTGTTGAATAGGATGGCAGGGTTCACCAAGGTGGGCCCAGCCCAGAAAAACAAACAGATTTTTTCAGATCGGGCCCACCCATCTTTGTACCAAGTGTTTTTTTTTCTTCATATTTAATCATTTCCAATAAATGTTTTTTTGCAGTTATCGAATAAAATTGCTCATTGCAATTATGAACTTATTGTTTGATAAATTTAACTTTGAAACTTTTTATTCAGAATTATAAAAAGTTAAACATTTAAAAAATCTAATTTTTTTGTTGCAATTATATGAACTGCATATGTGATAAAAATCAGGTACATGATTAAGAAAAATACTAAATTATAATACATTATTTATTTATGAAGACGCCCGATGGCTGAGCGGTAGCGATTCGCGCTGTCGTGCCACAGGTCTCTGGTTTGATCCTCGGGCCGGGCAAGGTTGACTCAGCCTTTCAACCCTTCAGTGGGTCGATAAATGAGTGCCAAGCATGCTTGGGAACTAAACACTGGGGGTTCCGCCTTCGGCTGACCACCTGACCGGAACATCTGCTCCTGCACCCCAGAGCCCAAAGTCAAGAAAACTGAGATGGGCACATAAGGCCTAGCTCTCTATGGGCTGTCGCGCCACTGAGTTTAGTTTTATTTATTTATAAAACAAATTTTTTGTAAGAAACCATTACACTAATCTAAATTTATTGTTACAGAATCTTTTTAAATTCTTAACCCTTCGGGGTTTGTTAAAATACATACACATATATATTATAAATATCCAATATTTAAAAAAAGAATTTTATATATTTTTAGACAAAGAATGCAGAAGCAAACTTTTTAGTTTGACAAGAAATTTCCCTTTTTATTTTAAGATTTGCATTATAGATTGTACATGCTTCCCTCTCTTGTGTTTTTATTTTTAAATTTATGTTTAAAGATGAAGTTAGAGTTTTGAACTCATAATTTAGCAGAATACCATAATTTAGGATATCAGTTGAAAGCCAATACATATCATATTGCTCAATCATTCACCATTTCTTTTATGACAAATGAACTAGAAAGAATATTTTCTAATTTTTGATTAGTTCAGTTCAAACTTTGAAATCACTTAGGAGCAGAAAATCTGTTGTTAAGTTTATCTATTTTAATCAAAAGAAATAAAGACTTTCTGACATTTTTAATCTTTAGTTTAGTGAAATTGTCAAGACATTTGAGATTAAGTTCATATTTTATCTCTTAATGAAATTAATGATTAAATTAATAATCTCGTTAATGGGATTAATGATTAAGGAAGATTAAATTATATAGTATCATATAATGAAATTTTTTGTAATGGAATGTGAATACATTTTGTAGATCCTGGTTGTTCGTGATATAGTTGGTCATTCATCATTTTAAATTTAATGAATATTTCTGCATGATTAATAAAATCTTAAATTATATACTTTTAATGCTTAGAATTAGAATATTTGAAATTTATGATTTCCTTAATTCATTTTAAATACAAAAAGTATAATAACGATAAAAGATGATAATTTTTTGTACATTGTAAGACATATAAAAAGTTCAATCATTGAAATATGCAAATGAACATACCATGTGCTACGAAAAGATATGTACATTTCATTTCATGAATGTATGTTTATAATTTGAAACATATGATGTAACATATTATGCTTCACATTTTACAAATAATCACAGTAACTTGATCATTATGCCATTCATTACACATTAAGAAGGCAGAAAAGCTACTGGCAGAATTATAAATTCTCATAATCGTTTTCTTTATTATTCTTTTTGGGAATGATCAAGTTATATTTTTTCAGTATATACTATATTTTATTCTTATATTTACTGTATATAAGTATGCATATAGAATATATTAAGCAAAAACCTACTTATCTCCAGACTAAATTAGATTTTTACATGAAAAAACCAACCTGCTGGTTTTACGCATTAAAACTCAGGGTGAATCCTGGTGGCAGGTCTTTATTAGCCTGCAGTTCAGTCATCTGTTACCTGATAAAACGCTGGTAAAATTAGATTTTTTTTTTCTAAAATAATTTTTTAATTTCATTGCATACATTTTAAAAAGTAATGTTTTGTGTTTGTGTTTTTATTATTTTATTTTTTTAATTTACCTTATATTTTTCTTTTTACCTTGTATTTTGATCAACAACTATCAAGCATTGTGCATTAATAAAAAATCTAATGTGGCATACCTATTATAGAAAAGCATATAACTTATGTTTAATTGTCATAATTGTGTTAATTTTTAATGATTATATTTGTTTAAAATCTCAATCTATTAATAATGTAAACTTCAATTCTATCTATTTCAAGATCTAACTTTTATTTGACTTCGCCATTACACAAAAGTAATAAAAGTTTGCACTTCAGTCTTCAGTCTCTTACTCTTCAGTAAACATAAATGGGTTTCATCCTTACATAGTATTTAGCTTAAAAATATTTGAACTCTTGTAAGATAAAACATTGCACGTTTTTCATTAATGAAGAAAAGTAAACAGCTTTTTATTTTAATTTTATCATATTCCATTTTCCTTTTTCTTCAAATTTTTCTCTTATTGCTACCTATTGTTTAAAATGAGCCCTATTTATCTTGTTTATCATGTGTAATAAAACTACTAAAACTTTTTTTCATGCGTTATTTTCAGAACATTTAAGAATTATTTTTATCTTTTCTACTTATTCTTAAGCTTTTCTTTCTTTCTTAGTGTAAACATTTAAATTTTATTTCTAGATGGTGATGACTTTTTTGTGATTTCTGGACAAGAATTAACAGATGATCAACTGAGGAAAAAATTCATAAAACTTTATAAATGTGTGTATTGTTCATTCTCTGGAAGCTCTATGTATAGTTTGAAAGAACATATTCGTGTGCACACAGGTGAAAGGCCTTTCTCTTGCAAAGTTTGTGGAAGAGCTTTTAAGCGAAATTATCATTGCAAAATGCATGAATTGACTCACATGGCATAAGTTGGTGTTTGCAATTATTTTTTGAAAGCAAGATGTTTTCAGTACTTGTTATATAGTTACAATATATTTACATTCATTTATTCACATCTCTGTAAATTTATCACCTATTCACTTGTTACATAAAAGTTTAATTTCATTTCGTATGTATCTAATCTTAATTATCAATGTACTTGGGTGCATTTTAGAATTTATGTGTATTAAGAGAGATTACTTGCTAAAATGACATTTATTGCACACTTTTGGAAGTAATGTAATGTATTTCATCATTAAATGCTTTTGCAATATAACGTGCTTATATATGTGATCTTAACAAGCATTTCCCAGACACAAAATATGCTTTTATTGTTAGACTGGCTCTAAATATAACAATCATAATTCAATCATTTTATTAAGTTTGTTTTTCTCTTAAATACAAAAAGTTTATTATTTCAAATTATATGAAGTATCAGAAAAATATTGTAAAGGCTATGGCGCCACTGGAAAGCAAGATAAAGCACACTCCTCTGCCTCAAAAATAGGCTTATAGTCTTGACAAATGCGATATGACAACAACAGCATTGTAAAGCCAAATAATAATTGTAAATAATTAAACTATGAAGATTTTTATTATTAAATATGTCAATTTTAGCCAACAGTTTCCAACCTCTTTTTTTTCTGTACTATTTAAAAGACCTTAAAATCCACTTTTGTTATAATCTTTTTAAAAGATGCTTAAAAAGCAGCTGTTCCAATACTACTTAAAGGAAGATGTGTTGCAATTAATTTATTTTTACTGAAAATGTGGGGGTTTGTTTAGTTCTTATGCAAATTTCCCTTTAATGAAATTCAGAAATTGTTAGATTTGAAAATCCATTGTCAGCATAAGGGAAGTTTGCAATTTTCTAACTTTTGGTGTTTGGAGAGAAGATTTAAAAAAAAAAAACTGTTTGTATAATGTTATATAAGGTGTATATATATACAAATATTTATAAATTTTTGGGTTTACGACTACCTATGTTCAACTCTGTAGTCTTGTAATTTTGAACCCAATCCAGAAGACAAGAGATCTCATGGATCAAGTATTGGGAGAAATTTGCCTTTGTGGAGAACTTTTTGATCGAATTAACCAGCATTTGCATTACTTGGAAAGGAAAACCACAAAAGCCTCTCACGGTTAGGCTGACAGCAAGGGGACTCTAACCCATGATCCGTCTACCAAAGAGGATATTTTACGTCGGCACTTTGGGTGATGCCAGCCAGATGTGGAATTTATATCGACCAGCCATCGCTGGGATTCTAACTCTGTTCACCTCATTTGAAGGCAAAGGCTCTATCCCCTGAGCCATCACAGCTCATATACAGTCGGACTTCTATTTAACGAACTTCCATTTCGCGAATTTCTCTATTTTGAGAATTTTTTTGAGGAACCAAAATCATTTTGGAAATTTTATCGTGAATTACTCAATTGTAAAATAACTACCAAATAGCGAAGTGAATTTCTATTTAACGAACTTTTCTTTGAGATCCACTTTCCCTATTTCCCACTTCCCTATTTACCTTCCACTTCCCCTATTTAAAATTACTTTGCTGTTATAATTTTATACAGCAAATAAATACAGTCAAAATTTTATGCATAAATTTAGCTGTTTTTTAGTTGAAAATGTAAGTAGCATGATAGTGTAACAGTGGATAATGTTTTGCTCTATTCTTGCTCTCCATGTAGATTTCTTTTATGGCTAAGTTTTATAAAATGAATAGTAGATACTAGCTTACAAGATAAAGATGTATCAATTGCTTTTTTAAATATGTCTAAAAGGCGATTTCCTATTTAACAAATTTTCCACATTACAAACTTATTATCGGGATTTAACAACTTCATTAAATGAAAGTTTGACTATATATATATATATATGTATGTATATAT